ATGACGTGAATTGTATGAGTAGTGATGAGTTGTAGTTAAGTTTTTAATTTTTTTTTTTAATGGTTTTTATTGTCCAAACAGTACCCGTGCAGTCGCAGCCTGTATACGGCTGAATTGATGCAGGGTATTACATAATCAAGACAAATCACAACAATCACATAATACACGATACACATATTTGTTCCACAAATTATTGTGGAACTGTCGCAAGGGTCTATACGGCAGCCATTCGGCGCCAGGTGACCTCAATACGACTTTCCCCAACCGAAGTTAGGTACCCATTCACACCTGGGTGGAGTGAGGAAATTCATGTAAAGTGCCTTTCCCAAGGGCACAACGTCGGGGCGCATGTTCAGACATGCCCCAGGTACGACTCGGAATCGAACCCGGGTCTCCTGGTTCGTAGTCGATCGCTCTAACCACTACACCACCCGACGCCACCAAGTTATAAATGTCTTGTCTATACCAACATTGGCCATGGTAAAGAGCTCACTGACCCCTGGTTTTAAGAGGCCAGGTTGTTTCTACCTCTAGGTATTTAGAGAATTCATCTTCATATGAGTGAACCTTATACTAGTTTATTCTCTTTTAGGGCCACCAACAGAAGAACATCTTCTACAAAACACTCTCTGGCCAGAGACTCAGAAACTGTAAGTAGAATTTTGTAAATTTGAGCAATTTATTTGTTCCCTTTATACATCTATTATCATATGTATGATCATTTGGATACATAATGTTAATCACTATCAGTTATTGTAATATTTTTCTTTACCATACAGATATGGACATGGGTATGAGCTGTTTTGTGTGGCCTGCAACAGACAGGGAACCCTGGTGGCCTCAGCCTGTAAGGTCAGCAAAATACCTGCAGTTCCTTCACACACCACCACTCTCCTCTTTACAATTTTTATAGGCTGGAACTCAGACATTTAGGACTGTAATAGTTTGTTCTGTACCCCACTCCAGTTACATTTCGATAGTCTAGAACTCAGACATTTAGGATGATTACAGTGTGTTCTGTACCACTCTCTTCATAACAATTTTTATAGTCTGGAACTCAGACATTTAAGTTTGTACTGACCTTCCAGGTCTTGAACTCAAACAGAATTGTTACAGTGTATTCTGTACCACTCTCCAAGCATGATAGCCTAGAACACAGACAGTTAGGAGTGTTACAGTGTGTTCTGCACCTCTCTCCAGGCGTCTAAAGCAGAGCATGCTGCTATCCTCCTGTGGGACACGAGCAGCTGGCGACAGGTGGGGCACCTGGAGAACCACTCCCTCACAGTCACACAGCTGCGCTTCAGCCACACCGGCCACCTGCTGCTGTCTGTGTCCAGGGACAGGACCTGGGCACTCTTCAGAAGACAAGCTGATGATCAGTCTGATGGTAGGAGTGATGTTAGTATATGTAACACAGACTCAGTTAGCCTCTGTAGCAGGCTTATAGAACTGGAGGTTTGGTGGTCTTCGGCTGTTTTTTTATTAGCCCAGTTCTAATTTTTCAACCAGGCCGGCTATGTTGTCTACATGCAATCAGAAAATAGCACATAAAAGTGCCCAAAGACCCTGAAGACCCCCAAAACCCTCAGTTGTTGGCATGCCATGGAGGCTAAGACTCAGTGGCATTTAGAGTTAATCCATCCATCCATCCATCCATCCATCCACCCATCCATTCGTTAATTTATTCAGTCATCGGTTCTCATGGTTGCATTTGTAATCTAAACCCTCTTTCATTAATATGTGATGGTAGTTCAGTACAAAGAACAGTGTGTGATGGTAGTTCAGTACCAGGGACAGTGTGTGATGGTAGTTCAGCACCAGGGACAGTGTGTGATGGTAGTTCAGTACCAGGGACAGTGTGTGATGGTAGTTCAGTACCAGGGACAGTGTGTGATGGTAGTTCAGTACCAGGGACAGTGTGTGATGGCAGTTCAGTACCAGGGACAGTGTGTGATGGTAGTTAAGTACCAGGGACAGTGTGTGATGGTAGTTCAGTACCAGGGACAGTGTGTGATGGTAGTTCAGTACCAGGGACAGTGTGTGATGGTAGTTCAGTACCAGGGACAGTGTGTGAAGGTAGTTCAGTACCAGGGACAGTGTGTGATGGTAGTTCAGTACCAGGGACAGTGTGTGATGGTAGTTCAGTACCAGGGACAGTGTGTGATGGTAGTTCAGTACCAGGGACAGTGTGTGATGGTAGTTCAGTACCAGGGACAGTGTGTGATGGTAGTTAAGTACCAGGGACAGTGTGTGATGGTAGTTCAGTATCAGGGACAGTGTGTGATGGTAGTTCAGCACCAGGGACAGTGTGTGATGGTAGTTCAGCACCAGGGACAGTATGTGATGGTAATTTGGCATAGGTTTGTTGATTATAATTCTTTGTTTGTAGTTGACTGCTTTGTGTCTGATTCCAGGAGAATTGTTCACAAGGATAGCGTACTCAGACAAAAAGACCTCTGTCCACTCCCGGATCATCTGGGGATGCTCCTGGTCCCACGATGACAACTATTTTGCTACAGCCTCTCGGGACAAAAAGGTATGGTATTATTCTTCATCAAGAATCTTCAATAGCTAAAAAATAAAAGGCAAGACCACTGAGTTTTGCCTCAACTGTCACATAGCTAAATTTGATTATGAAAGCAATGTTTTAGGTAGACTTTAGTACCATCGTATGCGTAGAATGTACATTCTTTATTGGCTTCACTTGTGCACAAAAGTAAAGGGAGTTTCGTATGGTCCACTACATCTAAGATTGAACAAAGCTAAATACATGTACATGTATGGAAAATTTACATACAGGATATGTAAATGCAGCAAACTATGTACAGAATATATGTCAGTGGCAACATTAGATGTTCATCTATTCTTTAACATGCAGTCTTTAAAGAAGATTTAAACATTCTTTAATGTATTTGCCTATTTGCACACTTTATATAGAAATAGGAATTCTGCTTCCAGTTGGCTGACATCCGTGATATGTGTTGTTTGTAGGTGGTTGTGTGGGGATGGAGACCGGACCATTTCCCTGTGGAGGGGTGTTTGGGAGAATGCTGTGCCTGCTCCACCACTCTGGATGTGGGAGAGGCAGCCACTGCTGTGGATTTTGCTCCTGCACTGACCGGGTCTAAAGGGTGACTAACATTTCTATAATATAGAATGAATATGTAAATAACGACCTTTATTGCACGTCTTTGCCAAGTACAGTACAGTACAGGTCACAACAAAACATGATGAACAGATACAGTAGTTAACAGATACAAAATTAAACTATCAATATACATCATTACATAAATTCAACTTCTTCTCACATATTAAACAAATTATAAAATTTATGAAGTGGTATGTTATGATGAACTACATTGTACATGTATGTCAAGAAAGTCAAATGGAGATTTGCACTGATATTTTCAAATACAAATCAAATCAAAATCAAATTCTTCTTTGATATTTGTTTGTGTAATATTGTTTGTGTAATAAGACAGATATGATGAACATTCCATTTATTTTGCTGTCTTTTTTTTATTTCTTCAAATTTTTACCTCAAAACAAGGCTCATACGAACCACTTACAAGTTTTGGGTTAAGGAACTGTAGAGACAGATGTTTGTTCACCCTAGACTTGAAAAGTTAAAAGTTTTACCCATTTGGGAGGCATTCACAAGGGGTAGTCTTGGGGTAGTCCATTGATATATTGTTGACATGTTTTACTTTCCTGAAATCCCTTGATGTCAAGATTTCTCTTTCCTGTATGGACTCAGGTACTGTCTGGCCATAGGGAAGGAGTCTGGGACTGTGGTGCTGTACTCCTGGAACCCTGCTGGGGAGAAGGAAGACTGGACACTACTGACAACTATTGATAGAAGGTACACGTCAAACTTATGTGTACTGTCATCAGTGTGGTTGGCCTTTGCAGGCATGTGTCTGGTTGGCCTTTGCAGGCATGTGTCTATAAATGAAGGTATTTTCTCAGCTTTATCTATGATCATTCAAAACAAATTCATAAAAAAAGGCAACTTTTAAAAGAAATATTGACCTTATAATCATAATCATCATTACAGAAACACAGCAAAGAAAACAGTCTCAAATTTCAGTCCTTTCAGTCATATAATCACTTCTGCTGAAAGCCTTACGTGAAGTTATATCTATTTTATCTTTCCTGTTACGTACTGTATGCAGTATTGCTGTGAGTGCCAATTTCAAAGCTCTATTTTACAGTGCTATAGGTCCTATATTGGAGCTATACTTTGGGTACCACAAGTGAAGAAATACACAGCATGTGTCTCTTCACTGCACGTGGGGTTGACACGCTCGTGCATTTCATCCCCTATTTTGATACCCCATGTACATTATACCTGTATATTGACAATGTCTGATGTTGTGATGTTTGTTGTTGTTTGTAGTAACCTGGGTCACTGCCTCGCTGTCCGACGGTTGGCATGGCGACCGACGGCCGAGAACGTAGAAGACGAGGAGAGGAACAAGTACCTACAATTAGCGAGCTGCGGAGATGACTTCACCGTGCGGATTTTCAACATCAGTGTAGACATTGTAACATGAGTGTCAGACTTTAGTACCTGGGGTGTGGTACTGATGACCAAGGGATTTAACACAGCAACATTTTACAGACTTACACACAAAGTTGATCAATATGCTCCTAGCATTTGTATGATCTCCAACAGATCCTTTCATGGCTGCAAAGACAGAATCAAATTGGCCAGGCAGTATGCAAATTGGTAACTGTCTGGAAAAATGGATACAGCCTGGCTAATTTGATTCTGTCCTTGCAGTCAATAAAAGATCTGCTTAAAGATTTTGTACACAGGGAAATGATATATCCATGCAATTATTTCCACAATCAAAGACTTATAAATAAATTGAATTCTTGTATGGTAGATAGCACTATCCATTCAACATGAGAGGTAGAAGTGATACCAAACATACAGGCCTGACCTAAATAATTCACCATCACACAACATCAAAACATGGAAAGGAAGTACGTTGGCATAGATTCTACCTTTTATTGTTCCACTCAGTTGTACATTGTTGTATAACAGAGGCATGTGCACTGAATCATCTACTAAACATTTGATGACAAAATATAACTATCGTCATCAAGTTTTCACAAAAATACAGAGAACTACAATATACTTCCACAGTCCTCAAAATCTCTCTCAATGACTGCATTGTAACCAGTACAATAATAATATAAAGAACAACTCTATAAAGTTTTTGAATTCCCTTAGTTCATCAAATGGAAACTCCATGAAGATAATATATCTGCTAATACATATAATAAATTTATTATTGCTCTCAACAACATATAATTATATTACTCAAGAACATTGCAATATTGGCTCATCTCTTTTGGCTAGTTTGTTTTCGATGTTCTCACAAGCGATACCAGATAAATAAAATTTTAGATAAATAAATCTCATATTTTCAAATAAAACTGCAACACCTGCTAATGAGTACCATTTGTAAAGGTGGTCTGTTAGGACCCTATATGAGACGTTCTATCGAAGTGCTATGCACAATACATTACGGGTTTCACGCACAGGTGCAGTATGTTCTGTCGATGTGCTGCCAGCAAGTTAGTCTGGAGTCATAGAGACTACATCACGTGATCTGTGGTCCGCTGTAGGATCGGCGTCGGATGACTCGGAAGCGCCAGAGGGAGAGTTGCCACAAGGCCGGGGCCAGCAGCAGGCTCAAGGTCGTGACCCCCAGTACCAACAGATACACCTGCAACATGATAGAATAGTCACAAGGTCAAGTTTCCTCAAGGTCGTCAGCACCAGCAGATACACCTGCAACATGACAGAACAGTCACAAGGTCAAGTTTCCTCAAGGTCGTGACCTCCAGTACCAGCAGATACACCTGCAACATGACAGAATAGTCACAAGGTCAAGTTTCCTCAATTCACACTGGTGAAAATGAGTATCTAGTTCTGGTTAGGGGCATCCCTCGGATAGGACATTAAATGGGGATTGAACCTGGGTCCCCTTGCTTGACAGTCAGATGCTCTAACGCTACACCACACTACATATGCTGATTTTTTTTTTAAATGGACTACTATGATGTTAGTTGTTCAGGTAACTTGATTTAATTTGAAGTTTGTGTTTCTATATCACTGGAAAAGTTGTAACCTTCTCACTGCTGCCTAATGCTGAAGCCAATGGAGAATCGGTAGCCAAAGCTTAGCATCAGTGTGGTAAAGGAATCAATGAATAGATACGCACCTCCCTTGAGATGATCCCAAGCCGTCGCGCCCTGCTGCCCAGCACGAAGGAAAACTCGCTGACCTGCGCCAACCCTGCGGCCACTAGCCACTTCAGGAAGGACTGTCGTGACGTCAGGAACAGTCCCAGCACTGCAACCCCCACGATGAACTGAAACAATCGACAACAGTTTCCTCACTTCACTCAGGTAAAAATGAGTACCTAGCTTTGGTTAGAGACATCTCTCAGATAGGATATTACATGGAGGTCCCGTGTTTGAGGAGAGCCACACCCCATGCAAGTTGAAGAACCCACGGTACTTATTGAAAGAGTAGGAGCTCTTCCCAGTGTGAGAGGTTCAAACCTCACATTCTGGTCTTGCGCAGCTTGTGCTTACATGTACAAAACTGGTGTATTACTCCTAAAGGCAGTTTACCGGTTTTGCAAAAACAAAACATCCAAGCTGTCAGATGGCTTTTTTTCCCTCAGAGCCTCTGAGAACCAACTTTTACTGTTGCTAGATTTCTTTTCCATCAGGAAGGAAGGATGGAGCAGCAAATCTTAAAGCAAAGAAACTTAATAGGAGTGGCCCAAGGAGAATGATGTCCACGTTCTTACCTTTAGTGAGACCACCACCAGTGTCATGATGGCGAGTATGCTCAACTCGTATACCACAAAGGTTGGGAAGACATGGAGACCTGGAGGTGATACAGAGTCAGGTAAACTTCAGTCAGTTCTTAATAATGTACATGTGGAAGCACCAGTCTTATAGGGATCACACATTTTGTCATCAAAAATGTGCAAAAAGCAGGAAACTTTATAAGATTTGTAGCTTTTAAAAGTGTGTAATTAAAACATGCCAAAATTATTATCATTTTGAAATATGCATATGATCACAAGCACTCTTTTAGTTCCAATTGTGAATAGTACACATGTACTAACTAAAGTAAAAAAGAAAGTGCAGATGATATGACATGTACATCGTGTAAACTAGGAGAGCCTCACCTATTGTAGCAAAGAAGATACTGGCGAATATGTCCTTGACTGGGTCTATCAGGCTGAGTAGTTCCTCAACCACCTGATGGCCCTGTGAGCTGACCAGAACGCCCGCCAGGAAACACCCAACTTCCATGGACACACCCAACACATCCGTTAGCTGGTGGGGATATATCAGACAAGTTAGCTACACTGTGTGTGTTGCACCGTGCACCATGATGGACAAAGTCATCAGAGATGGCAGATCCCCCCTTTACCAATACTGATTTAATTCACAACCCTTCCATTCAACTTCAAGTTAGACATTAAAGACATTGTGATTTTCACTATTTTAAACATTGTTGTTTTACACATTTTCTTGCGCTATAAGCCTACCTGGGTTCATAATGACATTTGGGGGTAAAAGATCAACGTTGTTGGGCTGCAAAAATGTGTTGGAAAAATGCCAACTTCCCAGTGCTAGTGCGGATCATAGCCATGCTGTTTGTTTACATTCTTTTTAGGAGCCTCCTAAAAATACAGTGGGCCTGGCGCAACTTATTTTCATCCTATGTTGATAATGCCATGATAATATGTTGAAAGTTATTGAAAATGACAATCTACATGAGAAAATTTCAATTACTTACAGTTTTGGCGCAAAAAAATCTTACATAATATCAGTTTAACATGGTGGAGGGTAAGAAAACATGGCACTTCTGCTGCTAACCTGTAACATGAGGAAGCAGAGAGCTACTGTCCCCATCAGTAACATCTCCTTACTGCCCTGCAGGTGGAGCCTCCTGAAGAACGGGGCCATCACGTACTTGGACAGGACGAAGCTCAGTCCCAGGACCACGATCACAGCCTCAACCAGCGACATGATGGCCTTCACTGTGTCCCAGGCCGTCCGAGTGTCCGTCCCGGACTTGCCGATGACCGCGGGGGGTCCCGTCGGGGCCAGGGTGGGCAGGATGGCCATGATGAGTCCCAGCATCACATCCTGCATCACCAGAATTCCCAGCAGGATGGAGGAGTAATCCAGCTCACTGGAAACTAGACACACACACAACACAACACATGTATACTCTCCAAGCAGAGGTTTAGGCTTCGGCTTACTCTACAGCTAGCGTCAAAAAAAATTCCAGAACGAAAAAGAAAGCCCAAAGCCGGCATCAAAAAAATTCCAGAACAAAAATGCAGAGTAACGCATGTACAACATAGGTTACAATTTGGCTGTAAAGTCTGTGGGTTTGTATAAAGCTTCACGTCAGTTGCCTCTGACTTCTTGTATGTCACATCATATCTTTTGCCCTCATCTGACAGGTTTTGTGAGATCTCTTACTACTTGTATATTTGCAATGTCATACAGTCTATTTCTAAGGACATTATAAGATGTAAGTGCACAACCAAACTATTCTACACAAAAATTATTTATGACTGGGGTTGAAGGTTGTCCTTCAGGAACGTGATCTGTCAGCTAACTAGTGTCCTCCACCTCTATTCTCGCTTGCAAAAGGGCCATTCAAAAAATGGTCAACATGGGTGCCATCCGATTTGTTTGTATTTCGCTACCATTACAAATCGGATGGCACCAGGCAAAGCATGGAGCAGTAAAAAGGTAAAAAGTCACTATGCGGCTGAGGCTGAAGTACATGAAACAAGCTGTACCATCACCACATACACGGGAATACACGTGACAAGATCAAACCTTAAGTCCCAAACAAGGCAGAAGACAAACATGTGCACCTTACAGCCATAGTAGGGAAAAACAACTACCTTTGCCAATCCATTTAGCATTTCCCTCTGGCTGTTCTGATACCTCAGGCTCATCTAGATCTAAACAGAGATCCTCGCTGCCTGTCACCATTGGTTAAAGCAAGAACACAGAAAGCTTCATGTTAGAAGCTTTAGGAAAACCCCATAGATTACTACAGTCAAATCTGCCAAAGGCAACCATCGAGGGGACAGAAGACAGGTGGTCTCCTTGAAGAGACACAACATGACTGAGGCATAAATAGTTTCCAATTCAAGATGTTTTAAAATCAAATGCTGTAAGCATCTTTAGTTCTGTGGTGAATGCATGTGGGGAGGGTGGCACATGGCACAATTTACGTAGAACAAATTTAAGCATTGTCATCAAGCAGTTGAGGCAAACTGGCTGGTTTCTCCATGATTTTTCATTAGTTATCATCAATAATCAACACAATTGAAAATGATGTGGTCGCCATGGGCAGGTATTGGGCCTTGAGTGGAACCAACTCACGATCACGTTGGCCAGGTGGTCACCCAGGACATACAGGTCGCTTTATGCTTACAGCAAATTTTAGGGACTGAGAAAAAGCAGTCACCATGGCCAGTTGGCCAGCTTGAAGAGGTGGTCACCTTGGTAGGTTTGATTGCACTTATTTTTTTCAAAAAACAACCATCTAATTTGGTAGCTATGTAGCTCTATTTTCATAACCTGGCGTGCTTTCTTTCCTCCAATGTGTGTAGACAACATTTGCAGACTTACCACTGGTGTCAGGGTCGTCATACTTGTGGTCTGACCGTGCGGAGGTGCTGAGGAACCGGACGACCAGCGGGGTACTGGACAGGGACAGGCAGGCCGACACAAACACACTCTGTTTCCAGGAGATGGCCAGGGGAATGCCCCACAGGATCCCACACAGCACCATCAGCAGCATCATGGCCAGACTGCCCAGCACTGCCACCTTCCACGTCTGGTGAACACACAGACAGGATTCTTTGTACGTTTGATTATGCTCACCGAAGGAAAATATACAATTGTTTTTGCTACATTTTCTCTTCTTCTCCAAACCAAAAAGGTCAATGACCTGCAGACTGCCTGTTACCAACACACACACAAAACGAGAAAAATGTGTTCTTTATGTATAAAATTCATTGCGCAAATTCTAAGATTGCTCAAAGATTGCTAGATGCAATTCAAGCCTCTAGTGCAAAGAGGTATAAGAACTGATGAACTGAAAGGCAAACTTGTGCAGACATACAGAAAGATGTATATTGTACTTGAAGCCCAGCTTGATGTCATGTGGCTCCTTACCTTTCTCAGTTTATCTGGGGAGAACTCCATCCCAACAGTAAACAGGATGAAGAACACTCCAAATTCTCCCAGAGTCTCCACCTGCACAACAGCCTGCAGAAACAAAAGAGACACGAAACAGTCAAATAAGGATGCAAAAAGAAATAAACACTTCAACCACTACTTGACCTGTCCCTACCTGCACCTATCAATGTCATTAGGAGGGTACTATGACAGTTTCCATACTAGCCGCCTGCTGTTAGTATTATCTAATGCTGCATGTGTTTGGAACAGAAGAAAAACTGAGTAAAAACAATATGTTTTCCTTCTGCGAAGGTAAAACATATATAGGTAATTACCTTGATGATGTTAAGTCCCGCTGGTCCCAGTACCAGTCCCGTCATGACATAGCCGAACAAGGTGGGCAGGTGGAGAATATTGCACAGCCAGCCCCACAGGAAGGACATGCTCAGGATCAGGATCATGTCCTGCAGGCAAAATAACCAACATCACAATGTTCATTCTTGGCAACTGCAAGATAAAAATCAATTCGCTGACCAAGCTCAAATAGACCAAGCTGAAGATTATGGACTATTCAAAACTTGGACGTTTTGTGATGAAGATTTAACATACTGGTGGTAACAGTCAATGCAGCAAATAAAAATCCAGATATACCTACTGTAATTACATGTATGTAAACCCAGAAAATAGACCAGTGGAGGTTAGGTGCAGGTTGACATCTGAAATACCTGCACAGATCCAATTTTACCTGAACTAACCTGCATATGAAGGTAGCATTTTGAGCCCTGATTGCAGGGGTAAGGTTACTAGACTAAGTTTTTTTTATCAACCTTTCTTTAAATTTACGTACAATTCTTTGGCCTTGGCTGCTTTTCAAGAGTTTAAGGGATCGAGGATAGTCAGTGGTCTTAATTCATATTTTCAGTTTCAGCAATAGATAAATAATACAATGACATGCAAGTTCAAAAATCGTAAATTATTACATGTAACTCAAAGTTACCTGGATCAGCTGCTTGTGTGCGAGTGGTGTTGTAGAGTCCTTGGCCTTAGTGAGGATGTACTGGTTGTTCCTGGAGTCCACCAGCATGCTCATACCACCGTCGTCCACCCCTGACTTGGAGTCGTTCACCTTTCCGGGATCCTCATTCACTCTCACCACAGCCTCTATCAGCGCGCCCTGAGCCTGGCAGAGGGGGAGGGGGTGTAGTGTATAATTGCTTGGTAATAATTTTGTATCTGTGTTAATCTCCAAGCAGATTTCTTTTGGTGGCAAGACAGTATCCATTAGCCAGAGGAGTTTGCACAGCCACTGAACACTCCTCTGGCCAATAGATACTGCCTTGCTACCATATGATCTGCTTGGAGATTATAGTAACCTTTAGGCATTAACATACCAGCTTTGCAGTGAGGCAGCATGTGGTTGTATCACACTGAAAGACTTGTCACACCTAATCTTTGCAGATCTAGCTACTAGTAGTAGTACTAGTACAAGTGTTGTTTAAAGCTGATGGTTAGATCTATACAAGAATCTGAGAAGAGGAATCTAGACAAATGCGAGGAGGTGGAATGGGTAATATCTCCCTGGTCATGCAACTTGAAGGAAGCTACTGAAAAGACATCCAAAACATACCAAATGGCTACGGATTTTTTCTATAACTTTTCCTTTACTCCAAACTACAACTGTACACACACATGTATTTTTACTCAACTCAAGCCCCTTATAAAGTGTATACATTGTAGTAGCAAAGTTCAATACTCACTTTTTTAGATTCATCAAAGACATGTTCCTGCAGTGTCTCTTCTAACTTGTCAGCAGCTTTGGCCACGTCAGCCAGAATTTCTTCCAGGAAGGTTGAACTGTTCGCCTTCTTCGCCTGTTCTTGAACCTTATTTTCCACTCGTACCAGTTCACTATATTCTTCCTCTTCCTGTAGAGTTGCAGCTTTCAACGCGTCAAGTCTCTGTAAACTCGCTTCTCTCATGTAAGAGATGTCTCTATAATTACCCGATAGCGCATGTTTTAGACTGTGAACTGCCTGGAATATAGCAGTTTCACTGTCGTTTAATTCTCGTTGGAAGACAACAAATGTGTGAATCTCAAATTTCTTCTCGTCTTCTGTAGCGTCCTTCTTTTTCTTGACGGCTTCGATTCCTTGGTTTAACCTGTTCATGATCCTTTTCTTTAAGTCTAAGAGGCCCTGCAGGTGGTCACAGGAGCGATCTGTCCACCTTGTCCACCTGTCCTTTGTGCCTGGTACTTTCTGGATTGGTGGTTTGATAGGTAGCTGCACTGCCCGTCTCAACAGACCATTAACACCCAAGTCCCCGGCTTTCGGTTTTTCAACTTCTTTCTTGTTTTCAGCCTTCTTTTGCACACGTTTAGTACTGGCATGTTTTATCAGCACAACAAAAAGGATGAGCAAAAGCAACGCCGTTAAATGTTTAGAAACCATCTTGTGAATTCTACCTAACATGGTCAAATGGAATAAAACAGGTAGTATTACAGCAGTCTAGTAATTGTTAGTACCAGAAACAATCTCTTGACAAATCTCACCTGGTTGTCTATATAATTTGGTCATGAAGGTTAATTACTCGATTTGTCAGTGCACATTAGGAATAACTCATTGCACATTAGAAAAACAATTCACTACAAAATATCATTGTAAACACAGTTCAGCCAACTGGTTGTATATCCATCTGGTGTGTGGCTTATGTCCACAGGTTGTAGACAAAGTTCATCATGTTGGTGACGAGTAGCATGAGGCCCAGGACGATGCCCATCAGTACAACCATACTGATGGCGTTGTTGGCCATGACATTAGAGGTGTCTGCCATGCTGGGTAGGACCGCTGAAGCTGGCTGTGGTGGGGAGGGCTGGTGGACGGAATCTCACTGGAAGAAATGAAAGACATTTTACAACCAGGTAGTGTGTATTCTACTCTAAACGACTAAAGGAAGGAAGTTAAATACTTCTAATGGTGGTTAGCTACTGGTATATCTTGGTGCTTTTTTGACCTACATGAAGGGGATGAAGTCTGCCATCTCTGACTGCCTTGCTGTCAATGATTTCCTTTTGAGCTAGCAATGTGTCGTTTCTCGAAAGGTCTTATCTCAAAACAAATCTGGGATTGATTTTTTGAGACGTGTCGCTCCATTGTACATGCTGAGCCCCACTGGTTCTTCAACTTTCAACCTTTTATTTAATTAGCTGACATACCTAACAATGACGAACCTTTAATAACAGGTCAATACACAATGGGCTGTTCCCAAAAAATTTGGACTGAGGGGGGTTGAAGGGGTGAAGGAGGGGGTGACCAGCAAGACACAGGGGGCTCAGGAGGGGGTATGAGAAGGGGGATGGTACTTGGGAGGGGGTGAAGCAGCTTAGACTGAAAGACATTGGGGTGAAACTGTGGGACAGGGGGATGAGTAGGATACGACTTCAACACCCTTCCACATTTATTTTATTGGAACAGCCCAATAACATCTTAAGAGCCCCCCACCCCACTACACTTTAAAATTATGACAATGATCATTACATTGAAAATACGCACAATTTAACTGCTGATGCTGATTGTCAACTGTCTCACTATGAGACATTTTATGTTTACGAGGTGAATTAACAAACACCAACCTGAAACCACCCGCTATCATTCACACATCAGCAGACAACCTCACAACCTTTCCCTTTTGGAACGAACCACTGTTTACTGGAGGGGAGGTAAATATCTGTGGCAGCTGCTTCAGAAATTATGTAATGTCAATAGTAATAGAATACGCTAATGACTTCCTTTACTTTTTTTGAGCTACAAACTAATTCGTAAGTTTATTTTTGACGTTACAAAAAAAATTGCAATGAAATTTTTCTCCCCCTCGAAATATTCATGTTGAGTGGGCCCAACCACTGGTGTTGCCGATCGTCAGATTTGATGTTTGGGTGGAAATTATCAGTGTTTTTCCTACATTTATAACGTTTACACATACAGGGGCATGAAAAATTGAGATAAGGATATTTCTGTCTCCATTTCTTCACATCTCCGAGCAAAAATTGTGCAAAATCGTCTAAATTTTGGAGTGATATCTTAGGTAACCTCTGACCCATATTGGAACGCTTGCGCAGTGTTGGCTGAGGTTGAACAAGGAACTCCATGGGAAGATGGTATGAGCTGCGCAATTCTTGGTATTTTTCCTTCTTACAATCATACCTGGCGTAATTTGATAGCGCTAAGTAACACACACCACTCACATTACCTTTCTGTCGTTTTAAGCACAAGCTGAAATCGTCGCAAAAGGAGAAAGTCCGCCAGTTCGTCGCCTTTACTCAAACTGGGGAAAGACCGCCATTTACTGTTTGTCACAAAACGACTGGAAACTCGACATCGCCTCGGACAACTATTTCCAGAACCCAGAGGCGTACTATCGAGAACACAAACCTGCCGTCGACAGAAAGAAGCTCGAGCAGCTTTTCAACCGATACAAAGGTGGGTGGAGGGTCTGTTTGCCCCCGATTTAACCATAAAACATCAACCATGCCATCATTTTATGATGACATTGTAATATTTTTGTTTCGTTGACTCATCTTTACGCAACAGGCTATAACTAGAACATCACACTGTGTTTGTGTTTATCAAGTTTGTGTCCAAGTATGTTTTGATGTCCAGGATAGTCTTAGGTTTATGATAACGTATTAAAAATTAAGACAATGAGTACATCTGATAGGTGTGCAACTGTTAAGAATACCATGTGTAGTTGACAACTGCTTGGCAGGTACAATTACAATTATGTATCTGTCCACCCATGATGTCATTTGATGCATTGTGAAGAAAACACAGTAAACTGATCAAATATTCAGCTGTTGTCAATCTGATTCATTCTCTAACTCTACTAGGAGTTTAACAATCGTTTTTAACCCATAACTTTGAAATATGGTGATGACATTTTTTATAAATTATCTATCAATCCATTCATCTGTTTTATTGATGCTGACATTTATTGTTTGTGTTGATAAAAATATTCCTGCCAAAACTAAAATTATACATACAAAACATAATTTGCATGTACAAAACTATCATTACCAATATATGTTGAAACACATCAATATATGTTTATCACTGGTTTATCGCTAGGACAATGTACAGGAATCAATACAAATAACAAAGTTAAGTAGTTGTAAGTCTGTATTACAGTAAGTTTACGACATCTATAACTTGATGTAATGAAATGCATACTTTTGTTACCCTTGACCCTGAAAGACCAGAAAAGTATGTTTTGATCACCATTGATTGATTTTGCAGCAGAAGGAGAAATGTTTTTGCAGCATTTTAATTTACGTTGTAACTTACAGTAGTAGTAGTAGTACATGTACATTGAAGATACATTTTTACAAGTTGTCATGATTTCATAGTGGCTGTGTCACTGCACAAACCGTGAGGATAAATACACTACAAACATTTGAAGATTTACAGTACATGTGTCTTGTCATTACTTATTCAGATCCTCATGAAGAAGACAAGATTGGAGTGGAGGGGGTGGCGAGATTTTGCGATGACTTGAACCTCGACCCCGCCAGTAGAGCAGTCCTGGCCATAGCATGGAAATTCAAAGCCGCAACACAATGTGAATTCACTAAAAAGGAGTTCATGGAAGGAATGACAGAGTTAGGGTGAGTTCTGTCTTTCATGACAACATCTGTAACATCAGGTAATATGTTACATGTAGCTGTGGATATCATAACTGTCTTAACCATGTAACCCAGTTTTATAATGGAAAAATAAGGCCAGGAAAGGTTTAAAAATCTTTGTTGAGGACCAAAACAATTTCTGCTACCACAATATGCACATCGAAAGCATTCTGGTATAGTTTAGGTGCATGATGTAGTTGGTTAGGTGGTGATGGCCACTGGAGCCAATAATTGAGTTAGGGTACGGCTGTTAGACTCTTAGACTAAGTTATAGCTAATAAATGGAGGATATAATCTAGTTTGGGGGTAGTTACTATCAGCACTTAGCGGCTAGCCATCCTATGCATCATCCAAACTTATTGAATGGTTTGTTTTACTTTATGGGGCCAGATTTTCAGCATTCGAACATTCTCAGCAAGGACACGTTTTGCCACTTCCACTGAAGCACCCTTTCTTTCTCCATACACCACCTCTTAGGAGGAAGTTCCACGCGCTTACGCTGAAAGCTTCTTTCCTAGAACAACATCACTATGTAACAAGTTACAGAGTGATTGCTTCCCACATGGGTATAACCTTAAACTTTTCAAGTCTAAGGTCAACAAACATCCTCACTATCTGTACAGTAACCCAAAACATTTGAGTGGCTTCCATGAGCCTGGTTTTGTGGTGAACATGAAGTCGAGAAATAAAAAAGATTTTTTTTCTATCTAACATCTTTGTAACCATCTTTGTTCCATGTATATGAACAATGCAGGTGTGATGGAATGGAGAAATTAAAGAATAAACTTCCCATGGTTGAAAACGAACTCAAGGAGCCCAGCAGATTCAAAGATTTCTACCAGTTCACCTTCACCTTCGGAAAGAACCCAGGACAAAAGGGAATGGGTAAGCATGTTTGTTTGTCTGTTTGTTTGTTCAGGTGTATATGTATCAAAACAACACGTGTGCCATCTGTATTTTAATAAAGGAACAGGTGCAAGCACAAAAGATCGAAGACGTGCAACAGGTACACAAGAATATTATGATTACAGTAACACATATATTACTATTACTGTTATGTACAAAGTTTTAAACATGTTCTACACGACTTCAAAATCAGGGAAATCGTGTTTATGTACCTAATTGTTTGGTTTCTTTTTGACAGATTTGGATATGGCCATTGCCTACTGGAACATAGTTCTGGCAGGAAAATTCAAGTTCCTAGATCTTTGGATAAGATTTCTCAAGGTATGTTTTACATCTTGTACCAGTGACTTTTTATGTTCTATTTGTGCCTTTCATGCAATTCGTTCTTACCAGTAAGCTTCTACTGCAATTCATTCTTACCAGTAAGCTTCTACTGCAATTCGTTCTTACCAGTAAGCTATTACACAATGCCAGTGGGATATATTTTATCAATGTAAAGGTAATAAAAGTTGTGAATTGTCTTGTCTCAGGAGCATCACAAGAGGTCCATACCTAAGGACACGTGGAACTTGCTGCTAGACTTCAGTAACATGATTGCAGACGACATGAGTAACTATGATGAGGAAGGTATGTACATGTAGACTGTCTGAGGAGTTCAGCAACCTTGTACCAAGAGTGGCATCACCAAAGATTAAGAACAAAGAACATTGTAACTGCTAAACTTAGGAATGTTATACACTATATATAATACTGGTAATATGTACATTTGTATGTAGTATTCATACGGACGGCCTTAAAAATGAATATGATTCTGTGCAACCATGCATGTCGGTTTTTAAGGTTTGTGTACATGGAGAGATATGTTAATTTGCAATTAATCTTGTTCCTTCTCAACTGCTTGAACCTGTGTTTTACTCCACTGCCTGTTGTTTCCCTACAGGTGCCTGGCCAGTGCTGATCGATGACTTTGTAGAATGGGCCAAGCCATTTGTTCAGGGGAGGAGCACAACTGTCTGACCAGCCAATCACAGGCACCGAGACAAACTGGTGCTGCAGAGAACAAAAATATAGGACTTTTCACATTGGCAAGAGGAATCTACCATCCAGTAGAATTCTCTACTATGTTTTCTTTTGGGACAGACCAGCACTATCTGAATACCTTGTGCTGGGTACTTCTATCTACGTTTCCCAGTCAAAATTGGTAGTAGGCTATATGAGATTGTCTCTTGGCATGATCTATGTTTTATCTATTTTTTGTTTTACACTGCTCTGTTGATGGTGGTAGCCCTTCTCTTCATGAAACCTAGTGCTTTATTTGTAGCTGTCGCTCCATGATTCCGCGAACATCAGAAGTGTAATGTCTAGTGGCCTTTTTTTGTCACCTCAGAGGACAATACTAAAATAAAGCTTGTATCTTCCAGTTGTTCCCTGATGTTTGTTTGCATGTATGAGTTCCAGATGCATGGCCAAACAATACAGCTGGAGTGTTGTTTTTATCCACGGAAAAAAAAGAAAATGATGGCACTGTCACTCCTCTTTCCCAACCTGAGCCGTGTTTCTGTGTTCTCGTGTTTCTTGCTGACCACTCTCTCGCTTTCTGATGTATAGTTGGGTCAGATTTCGAAAACAGCCACCCCCTACAACGCCCCACCCCCCTCGAAATGTTGAGTGTCAGTACTGCGCCTATATTGGTATACATTGGTTGTAAGATGGTCTTGATTTTTGTTGTTATCTCTCTATATTGGAGGTGTATGCAATAAAATCTTGACTATGCCTTTACATAAGAACTATTGTCAGTTATGAATGGGTGTTGTGTGTTTGCCTTTAAAGATGTGTAGAATTGACCACCTCTTTACACACTGACTGGCTGGGCTCAGAGTAACCTGCAAGACTTTATGGATAAGATGGTGTGGAAATACATGGACTGCAACAGCAAGGACACGTGAAGTAATGCCACACCTGCAAATTTATTGCTAAACCTTGAATATCATATACATGTACAAAGTAATTCAAAGCCTCACATGTTTGATGCATGTTCAAAGTATTTGCGCACCCCAGATACTGTTGTTCCATGAATTAGTTACACACAAGTTAACTACCTTGATACCATTTAAATCCTTCAGAGCCCTTAATTGGATACTACACACAGTTATGTAGCTGGTTGATGTTTTATTTCAATGAAATTCTAGGGTAGTGGGTTTTCCTAAGTCTAAAATAATTTTAAAGCCACAATATATACCACACCTTGATATAACGTTAACACTTTGCATGACAGACAAGAAGAAATGATCATGCAATTTTAATCTAGCAATACTGTCATTCTACATCGAACTGCTAGATGGCAGTTTGCGCGCACGGTCTCTACCTGATCTGCTGATGATAAAACAGCCAGAGTATTTATTGTACCATGTCTTTTTTGGTGGGTGGGTGGGTGCTGCACTTCAAAATGTTGGCAAAGAGCTGTATTTGATATTGTCTCCTCTGATTACATGATTTTTCCGTGGCCATGTCCCTTCTATGCACCCAATTCAATCTCATAGTACACTACGTACTAGTAAATGGTAAGCATTTCTCACTCAAACCAAGGACATTGTCCTTGCTCAAACACAACGTGCGAAACCGAAAACGATTTACTTTAAACGCCCAACATCTGCTTGGAGATCACGTGACTCCTGTGATCACGACCCGGAAGTCATGGAAGTGTTGGACCTTTTTGCGCAAGCTCCACCAGAAACTTTCTCCGAAGACATGTAATTTTTTTCCTCATCTCCTTGTGCTTTCTTCCTCTCGAAAGTCGTGTACGTTGAAAGATGCTGAACCTAGCCGACCGTAGACCGAGGTAGTACCGTCAACATGCGGCCGGTGCCGCCTGGACAGGTCTGGTACCACGGGAACATCAGCAGGCTCAAGGCGGAAGAACTTCTGGGGAGGGCGAAGAAGGACGGCTGCTTCCTTGTCCGGGACAGCGAGAGCGTAAAGGGAGCCTTCGCCTTGTGTATCCTGTAAGAAAACAAGTTGTTTACCAACATCACCGCTCCATGTATCTTGTCTTTGATATCCCCACGTAAACAATATCGCACATACACATACATAAATGTACACACTTGACACGATAAGATAATTATTACAGAGTGGCGCTGTATATTTGCCAACATCCTGCTGACTTTGGCCTGAGCTCTGCTACACTAGATCAGGAAGTCTGTACACTATAGATAATGGTACCGTGCAGCAAAGGGAAGAACATGGCTTAAAATGTGATGTTCTGTTTATACTACAGCCTCCATAGCAGGGCTCACGTTTTTGGCAACACCACAGGGATGATGAAACATCTTTGTTTTGATTTTTGTTAGTATCTATCTTAGGATATTATGAAAAAAGGCATGCAGTTTTCCTGATATAGCTAGTCCTTGGGTTTGTCAGAAGATGTCAGTTGGCCCAAGAATGGCAGAAATTTCCAAATTTAATGACTTTCATTGTTCTTTATAAGTATTACTTTTTATCCTGGAAGATTAGTCTACCAACAGGTTCAGCTTGGTATGCTTTGATCACATCATCAGAACATACTGTGCCTGCACAGACCCGTAATGTATTGTGCATAGCACTTCAGCAGATCGACTCATTTAAGGTTGTATTCGCGCATTTAAGGATAACGATTTCCGTCTATTAAGTTTTCAAACATTATGTCGTAAAAGATATTGTCTGCAATGACCAAAATTCTGATGCAACGTTGACCAAACATCTAACAAATACTGTGGAAAGTCCGGGTTTTGCACAAGAACAGTACGTTCTGTTGACATACTTGGTCATACTATCTTCTTTAAATATCTGATGATTTTTTTTTATTGTTACCATAACAATTTCCTTGGCATGTTCCCTTTCCAGCTACCATGGAGCAGTGCACCAGTACAGAATCCTGCCTGATGCTGATGAACTACTGGCATTACAGGTTTGTCTGTTGTATTTACTCAGCAGAACTTGGAATACTGAAAAATTGACATGTTCTTAGAACTGTATGTTTGCAGTTGCAGCAGGTGCAGAAAAAAGGAAGTCGGCAAATTATTTGTTTACGGTAATGATAAGTTTGCAGTACAGAATTGACCGCAAAAACTGCAAACATAAAAGTACCACGAAAAAATCAGAAATTGCAGTACTTTTTTCTGCACACCTGCACATTTTTCCGCAGCCCCTGTTTTCAACTTGTCCTTTTGCTTCATTTTTACTTTGAAATGCAAGCCAAAACATTTCAAACCAAAAAGTTAATCATCATGGCCTTACCAATTAAAAAGAAAACAAGATGATATTGTTTGAAGGATGAAAACTCATCTGTGTCTGTGTAAATTCCATAGTTTCCATTCTAAATTATCACACTTCACTGTGATATTGTTTGAATGTGTCGTCAGACCATCCGCGGTGTCCAGGAGCAGAGGTTCACCAGTCTGCAGGACTTGGTGATCCAGAACAGCTCCACAACTGACGTCCTGGTCTGCCCCCTGAAGGAACCTGTACAACAGGACACATCAGAAGAAGACTCTGGTTTGTACATGTGAAAGTTCTTACCTAGCCTCCATTGGTAGGGGACACTGACAGGAAGTTAGGTCAAAGGTCCCATTAAAGGTTATCTCATTTCCAACATTCAGTTTCCTGCTATATGCATGTCTCTTTCCATATAGTTATGCAGAGAGGGAATCAGCAAGAGATTCACAAAAACTCACAATATTTCACAGAAAGAGGATTCTGTTGTACAACAATCTGTTGTACAACAAGGTGTGAAAGTCTCCTTGTTTTGGGTAAGATAATAAATATTATAGAGTTTTATGTGTAACCATCTTTATGACCTCTTTAATATTACAGATGATGATGAAGATGAGGACAGTCTACAGCCTGTAGGAGACTTCTCCAAGTCCAGGACAGACACAGTCTCTCAGGTGTTCCAGATGAGGCTAGAACAACTCAGGTTGTCCAGGTACGCAGCAGCAAAACTGTTTTTTTTTTCATTACTCTCAGAAGCCTAGGTTCTTTCCTGGATTGACATGATTTAAGTTATGATGGCAACAGACACTCAAGACAGACACCCAGTCAGTAAATAAAGTTGGAAAGAGGCCTTGAGGCTGGCTGTTGACAGAGCAAGCTGGAATACCTTGACTGCCTCATGCGTCACAAGACATGAGAGTCTCTAAGTCTGATTAACGTCTTAGTTCTGCAAAGGGGATCTACACGTACTTCTGGAAGAAGTCCACCCATGGATAGTCATTATAGTTTAACAGATTAACCCAAGAAAAATACCTACTATGGTTTTGAAGTCATTCTTTAAAAATACGTTATACCTATTAGTTTTTAATGTATATACTCGTAGTAGAGGGGATTCATTCCTCAAGTTTTGAATTAGTTTTGAATGTGTTTGACATTTGTCTAGGTGTACAGCCAGTATCCTTGTCAGAAGCCCCTGACACAATTTTGAATGATTTTGATTTGGTCGTCAGAGTGGACAATGGTTTTGTTGGTCAGCTGCGGCAGTATGTCCAGCAGGGCCTGCAGCAGGACATGGACAGTCTGCGGACAGGAGGGTCCAACCTGCCACAGCTACACAGGCTGGTGGAGCTGTCTGCACAGGAGTTACATGGGTAAGGGCCACTCACATTCTTACACAAACCAAGGCCTGATTTTAACCAGATACGGGTTCACAGCTTGTAGCATGTTAAGTCTATTGGCTAGCTGTTCTTTCCCCTTAAAAGTAAAGTAACTGTTATGAGTTCAAATCCCAGCTGTGTCACTCATTCAAAATTCATGCTGCTAGACATAAAGCTGTGATCCACTGTTCATTTTACATGTTGTAAAGAGATAGAGGGCTTTCCCTGGTACAATGAACCTGTACATGTTGTACATAGCAGCTGTCTTGTCTGTCACGACTAGTGGAAGAGTAGCTTGACTGTTCATTTTAGGTAAACTGTTTCGAGATCGCTTTAACTTTCTTTTACTTTAATGATCATTAGTAAAAAATACAGTGCTTTTCTGCTCTGTGTTTTCTCAGTCATTTTGAAAGTTTCCTGGCTAAGATGGACACCATGAGACAACTCTTCGACCAAACCACACCTGGGAAAAACAGGAAGGCATCTGATCCCGTCAAGGTACAGGTGTGCTATTGTGACAGTTGTTTTCAGTATTGTCTAACGTTATGTCTAGATCAAGAAAATGCTGCAACTTTTGTATTAAAAATTGGTCTAGCAGATCTAGTAGACATTTTAGAGTACACATCTAGCAGACATTTTAAAGTAATGGGAAAGTAGAAAATAACATGGAAATAGAAAGCTCGAATGAAAAATGCATCTGACTATTTAAGTACATGTATATCCATTCCATAAAACTGTGTTAACCAAGTATCAGACTTTCCCTTAGACTTAGTTTTTGTCAGTCCAGTCAGAAGTTGATGTTTTTAAGTCTCAAGAACCAATAGATTAACTTGATATGGCCAGATTGGTCTGAGCCATTGCAGACTGGGAAGAAATTGCATGTATAAAAGAGTATGTAGTAATCATTGGTCAATGCATAAATCAATTCTTACTTCTGATGTCTGGTTGGTGCAAAACATATTTTCTGTCAAACACATTTCTCTAACCTTATCAAGGTTAGAGAAATGTTATCAAGAGAATCTCTCTCTCTTTGATAGAATAAAACATTACATAAAACAATGATATAATAGATAATGATTCAATGATTGTGTCTAGTGCTGTGTACCTAAACCCACATTTAGGTTCAGGTCCGGATTCAAGTCCAGAGGTTTAGGTTCTGTTCCGGACTTGAAAGTCTGGACCTAAACCCATGGCACATACAAAATTGGATGTTGGCAACCTTGCAATGTTGTTTGGGCAAAACTTTGGCCGACACTTGACGATGCCCGATGGCAATGTTTTCTTCATTTTGCAGCACAGATCTTGCAAGGTTAAATTAGGTGGTTTGGAAAGAAAAGGGGTATGTGACACATTTTTTTTTGTAATAAATCCGGAATTGGTTCTTGACTTTTACATTTTTTGGACTTGAACCTAAATATTTTTACAAGTCTGGAACCAGTGCAGCAAACTGGTACACAGCACTAATTGTTCCCTGTAATGTTAAACTGTTGTTTTTTGAATCAGGATGATCAGGGGCAGTTTGACCTACAGGAGCTTTTAGAGCGCCTGACCACCTGTAAAACTGTCATCACAAGTTTGGAAAGAAAGGTGGGGAAAACAAGTCTTCTTCATGCCTACTCAATTACTATATTTGATAGATTTGCAGTTCTTCAGTGTATAGCCTCTTGTGCAGTGTATACATGTAAGTTAGTTTGTTTGTTTATCCCAAGACAGCTCCATTTTTTAATAGCAAGCAGGTGTCTCCCAATTCATAGTTTCAGTTGGAGAACCAACATATTAAATTTGTGTGGCCCAAAGGTCTTGTTAGTGAAGGGCATGACAATATTGCTGTTTTAAAAATTTTGTTGTTGTTGTTGATTGTAGGCCTCCAAAGTTCTGCAGGAATTTGTCCAACCTGAAGCTGACGGAGACAACAGGACCAAGGAAAACTTCCCAAAGGGAGAAGTGGCCAAGTCACCCCCACCCTCCATTCCTCCCAAGACTTTTGAGGTAAAAAGACATTTTTTAGTTCACCTATTGGTCAGGATTGCAAATAGAAGTGTAAGATTCAGTAACCTTGGGGGGCTTCATTGTGACAACTTAGAATGATTGCTGTTGATAATTGTGTGTATTCTGATACAGCCTATAGTCCCAGACTTTGGCATTCTCTCCCTCTTGGTCAAACTTTTCTCACTCTCCTTCACTCAATACCGCATGCTCCAGGGAGCATAGTGCCTTGCTTAGTTAACTTCCAGCTAGTTCTGTCCTGCCAGGCTGTGGCTACATTAAGACCCATGGTACTCAGGTCTGCGCTTAGCTGGTCTCCCCATCTGCGTATCACTCTCCTGCACAGGCCTAAAAGTTTCTTCTGAACCCTAAGTTCAAATTCTCGTTTCTTTTCTCCCAGGTGCGACAGGAAAGTATGGGTGCCATGAAGACCATACGGCTGATGGTGAAGGTGGACGTCATGAACGGCAAGTTGTACTGTCTCCGCAGTCCCAAGAACCCGGAGGAAGTCTTCACACACAAAAAAAGTAACTATACCGCAATCTTACCACATATTTGTAAAGTAAGAAGATAAAGTGGCATTCCTCTATTGAGGAGTAATGTTTGAGTCTTGGTGAAACACAGGACAGGAGCTTTATATTTCATTGAAGGACAATATGTAAATCCTACCAGTAACATCCAAGATTGAAACCTCCAACCTCTGGGTCCATATTATTCGACCCCCATTGAAAGCACTAGTCTACTATACTGTGATACTTACCACCAATAGTTAGTACACCAAAACATATGACATGTAATTTTTTTTTTTCAGTTTTGCAGTTAGTCAAGTCTCCCAAGGCAAGACTGGGAATTAAGATTGAGGGCCAGAAAGCAAAGTACTTCATTTTTGAGGATGTCAGGGTAGGTATTCCTGCACTAGTGGTAAAGACATGATAGCTGGTGATCTTTCTGCATTTATATCTGCACTTAAAGGAGACCAAGGAAGGGGTCTCTTGTCTGTTGGAAGGTTAAAAGGAAACACAAGAAATCCCATATGAGTGTAAAATGCTATTACATTTGTTTGTGATGTACATGTACAAGGAAGTTTTGTCTCATGCTCAATTTTTCTATTCTAGTCACGAGAGTTGTTCTGTCAGCTCATCCAGCATATGAAGAACATCCACTCAAAGGACAAAGAAGTGGACCAGATCTCTGTCTTTGTAGGAAGCTGGAATATGGGTATGGTTGCATTTCTAATCTAAACCCTCTTTAATTATTGTGTGATGGTAGTTCAGCACCAGGGACAGTGTGTGGTGGTAGTTCAGCACCAGGGACAGTGTATGATGGTAGTTCAGTACCAGGGACAGTGTGTGATGGTAGTTCAGTAGAAGGAACAGTATGTGGTGGTAATTCAGTACCAGGGACAGTGTGTGATGGTAGTTCAGTACCAGGGACAGTGTGTGATGGTAGTTCAGTACCAGGGACAGTGTGTGATGGTAGTTCAGTACCAGGGACAGTGTAGTTCAGCATGGGTCTTTTGGGACCTAAGAAAGATATTGTGTCACCCCCTCAGTATTTTACAGTAAATGGACTATTCCCACTGTAACATTTGTGTTTGTGTTTTTCAGGAGATGCCCCTGCCCCTTCCAATATTTCCTCGTGGTTCAAATGTCAAGGTCAGGGGAAGACGAGAGACGAAACCTTCGCGCTGGTGCCATTTGACGTCTACGTGATCGGTACTCAGGAGTCGGCTGTCGGTGAAAAGGACTGGGTACAGAGGCTTCAGCTGGTGCTATGGGGCCTTGCCGAGATCAAGTACCAACCAGTAAGGACTGCATGAACTGTTTTAGCTGTGATTAATTTGGTGGATGATTGGTTGATTGTCTGATTGATTGTTTGATTAATTGTTGTTGTTGCAGGTTGCAGTCAGCACCCTGTGGGGCATCCGGCTAGTGGTCCTGGTCAAGCCTGAACACCAACACAGGATCAGCCATGTACAGACTAGCTCTGTCAAGACTGGGATAGCCAACGCTTTAGGTACCTTTAAAAACTTTGTACATCGAATAAGAGTATGATTCATTTGTGCTGTACTCCCAGTCTATGTTTTCTAGGTTTTTGTTAAAGACATGTATGATTTTTTTTCCAGGAAACAAGGGAGCTGTTGGTATCTCCTTCCTCTTCTGGGGGACAGCTTTCTGTTTTGTTAACTGTCACTTAACGTCAGGCAACGAGAAATGTGCCAGGTATGTTTCATCAGTATTTATTAGTGTACATATTCCTTGTTACCTCCCTATATGGAGGTTTTGTTTCACGGTGGTATGAAATCTTATTGTTGATTCTTGTTGTGTTCTGTACTTAAATTTTAACGATGAGTCTTGATTTGGTTGCAGACGGAATCAGAATTACCATGACATCTTACGGGGTTTGAACCTGGGGCACCTGAAGCTCGGAGGGTTTGATGTCACGACTCAGTTCCACCACGTCTTCTTCTTAGGAGACCTGAACTACAGGCTGGACCTCCCTGTTCAGGTGAGGAAGGGGGAGGGGGGCATCCTCCAACCTGGCTCATAAAAAAAAAATTTATGAAGATTTGTGGAAGGATTGACATAACAGGTGACTATCACCTTTTCAAGATGTCAAACCTGAGACCAGGCTGTAAGATTTGAACCACTCACACCGGGAACAAACCCTGCTCTTTTCCATAAATGTGTTGGGATCTTAGCTAGGTACTCATTTACACCTGAGTGAAGTGAGGAAAGTCGTGTTTAGTGCCTCTTTCAAGGGCACAAGATTGATGACACGGCAGGATTTAGACCCAGGACCTTTTGATTCCTAGCCGAACACACTACCGTTACACCACATGTCCCCACTCATAACACGTATTTTGTCATACCTGGGCCACAATAATAATATTAGTGTTCCAGCCCATGTGATAACAAGCTGTGGCAAAGAACAGTACAAGAGTCTTGTCTTTTTAGTGGCTGGTGCTATAGAGAATCTTGATTATAATTGTTGAAATATGTCTTTCTCAGGAAATCCTGAAGAAGGTGAATGAGAGAGACTATGAGAGCCTACTGACACAGGACCAACTGAAGGTGGAGCAAGACAAGGGGAAGGTTTTCGTTAGATTCAGTAAGTATTTATTTGTTAGTATGTTTGTGAAAAAAGAAGTTATTAATAGTCAAACTTAAGCACTTAGTACTGCTCCCAACATGATGGTGCAGTGGTGCATACCAACGTCCAATGAAATGTCTGGAAAATCAAGCCAATTAAACAGATGTAAAACAGCAAATTTGGAACACACAAAAGTTATTCTACACAATTGGATGGTAGATGAATATATAGGGCTTATCCATCTATATTTGTCTTCTGAACTTAATCTTTGCTATTTGTCCAGATGAGGAAAATATAACCTTTCCTCCAACTTATCGCTACGAAAGAGGCCATCGCAAGGAATACACCTGGCAGAAGTTTAAGAAGACTGGGGTAATCTCAACATTTTCACTTCTTGATTTTGACCAACAGTATTCTCTAGATTTCTTTTTTGAATTGTAGAAAACATTCATGCATTTACATTTCTACAGTATTCCGAAACTTACAATATCACAAGTTTGTTTGTACAAATACATTGTAGAGCAGAAAAAGTCTTAAGCTAGCTGTTGTAGTGTTAGTATTTTGAATAACATCTTAAAATAAAATCAGATAGTCATCATATACTCCTACTGTGCCATAATGATCAACTAAATACATATTTGTGGGTTTTTTTTTCTTCCAAGATCCGTATCAACGTTCCTTCCTGGTGTGACCGTGTCCTGTGGCGGTCATTTCCTGACACCTACATCACCAGTTTATCCTACGGTGGGTGTTTGTAACACATTTTACACTTTGATTTCTGTTTTTAAGGACTTCCATGATACACCATACAACTGTTTGCCCAATTTTAATACAACATACAGTTTCATCATTCCTGTATCTCAGTCTGTTCTTTGTTATCACAGGATGTACAGAAGACATTGTGACCAGTGACCACTCCCCTGTGTTTGCATCATTTGATGTCGGGATCACCACTCAGTATGTTTCTAAAAAAGGTGAACAGTTTTGTCTGACGCCTTCCACTGGCTTTACATTCTATCTTGTTAATATCCAAAACTGATTTGGTGTTGTGTTAAGACAGTTTCTGTTATACATTGTACCTGTACTGATTTTTTAAATCAATTTGTTAAAATGATTCAACCAGGACCTTCTAAACATCATTGAGTACTGTCTGTCCTAGACTTTGTGTGTGTATGCGTGTGCGTGTGTTTATACAGTGCACTTCCTGTGTGTTCAGTCAGAGGGCATTTACAATGTACCTTCATGAGACTGTTTGCCCCTTTGGAGAGGCTAAAGTTTGCCATGATCTCTGATTGCCTTGCACACATCTATTTGCAGATCTGGGGGGCACTGGTGGGGCAGACAACAAGAAAGTGGAGATTGTGTTCAAGCATATGGATGCCAAGGTAAGGACTGACACCGAGCCACTAATGTTTTACGCTTTATTTACTCTTATATAAATAATAGATTAATGTTAGTAGATCTTTTATAATCTACAAGATGAGATGTGAACAGTAATTGCGTTTCCTTTCTTACAGATGAAAACAAGCAGCAAAACCAGCTTCTATTTGGAGATCCATTCTACTTGTCTGGAGGGTGAGTTTTGTCAAATTCCCTGTCAATGTTGACCTGAACATTTCTATGACTAGTGTGATTTCTGGTATGTTGTCGTCTGTGACCATGTGACCATTGACCTTAATGTGATCTCTGACCCATGTTCTTGCTATCCAATGTGACCTCTGCAACCTGTGCAACCGCTAACCTATATGGTCTCTGCCCTGTCCAATTGTATATCTCTATATTCCCTGTAGGACCATCTCAAAGCACACCAGTAGAAGGGGTGAAGGATGGCGGGAACATCAAAGCATCATGGAGCAACAACCACCTGCCATTGGTAGGCACATTCTGTATCAGTTGGCTTTAGGTAGTACTTATTTTCTGCTCATGCAATGTGCAGGTAGAGCATTGAGTATAACAGTACAAGACTGTGAAAATTGAGTTAAACTAAGCCTGGTAATGGAAGGCATTTCAGCGCCAGCCTACTAATGGAAGGCATATTCAGCACCAAGGACAGGTATTAAGAAGATTACCTGTCATATAAACTGTATACTAGCTATGTGGACAATAAGAATATATATGGACTGTTTACTAACTATATAGAAGACAATAAGGATTGATACTGAGCTCTGACTCCTATGTCTAGGATTGATTACTGTACCCTAAATTGTTCCCTACTGCCATCACTATGGTAGTTTTTCTGATCACCACTCTTGTTTATTACCTGCTCACAGTTGTCACCACTCATCTCTGACTGGGAGTACCTGGAGGAGCAACATCTGCTGCTGTCAGTCAAGTCAGCGGACAGTGACGAGTCATACGGTAACCAAGACTAAACATCTCTTTATTTGTGTAGTACATTGTATTATGTTCCCGTAAGATGTGTGTTCAACTAATACTGTATGTTATATAAATCATAGCTATCTGACAATATTTCCTACTGCATGTGTAATGGCAACTCTCTCTCTGGGCTAAACCACACTTGTATACTGTATTCACTGTATAACCAACGTCTAACATTATACAGGTGAATGCGTGCTGTCCCTGAAGAACATGATCGCCTCCATGCCTCAGCAGTTTGACAGTTTTATCACACATCTGGGCCAGGGCACAGGGACGCTCAGGTATGCAAGTCTGTTGTAACTGATTCCCATGTAGGGTTTTTACTAGAGTCCATCATTGTCATATGACAGAATCTTGTTGCTACTTACAGTAAAAAATTCTAACATGTTGTAGAAGAACACTGTTGGACAGTGATAATTTTCAACATTATGGTTTTCCAGTGGTTGGATGCATGTAAAAGGAGACCAGAGGATACGATCACAGAGAGAGATGTCCCGCAGCTATGGTAAGCCTTCCGTTTGTTCTTCTCTTAGACTGATTGACCAGTCTTGATCATATATAGATGGACATGCACTTTTAGCAGAGCACAAGTTTTAAATCTTGGAGTTGTAGTGTCTCTACTCATTTTGCTGTCATTTGTTTCAGTTGTTGCATTTTTTTTTTAATTTGTTGTGTTCTCATCTCTTTTTATTACCATGGTCAACTGCAAAACATGTCAGAGAATGTTTGATGTATTCTAGTGGTGAAACATGTAGACTCTGTGATTTTACGCAATCCTTATAGTAAACAACATTTTTAACATTATACCACAGAGCTGATCTCCTTCGGAGAGATGGTAGAGGACACCTCAGACCACGTCCAGCCGGCGTCCGGCCGCCGCCTCCTCCAGCCCACCCTCAGCAACCCTCTGGATGGAGCCGCCCACAAACCGGTCACCGCCACTTCATCCCTGACCGCCACCAACGAGATGTACTTCCTCACCAGTGGGGTGGACGACAAACAACCGGACGGAGCATCGCTAACCGACGCTCAACGGAAGAAACCCAAACCAACCCCTCGTAGGAGAGGGAGCTCCTTAGAACGGGAGGTCGGTACGGGAGACTCGTCTGGTCACAAGGTGGACGACGCAATTGTCCTGAAGAAGCAGAGGTCGCACTCGAGTGACCGAAGCGCTGACCCTGTGGACGTTCGGCCGCCTAAGCCTCCGCCCAGGCTGTCCTCCTCCCGGTCGTCATCAGAGCGAAGACCACGAGACAGGAAGTTTGTGGCGGAACCGAAGAACCAGAAACCTGCTGCAGCACCTCCACCTGTGGCACCATACAAGGCACCGCCTGTGGTGAGAGTCACGATGGAAGGTGGTGACGAGGCTGAATCAGACATCCCACCTCCACTACCAGTGAAGAGTCGAGGCAACAGAACATCTACTGCTTCCCTTTCGGATATACCGGTAATGCTGTGTTCTCTGATACTTTGTCATGACTTGTGGTCCCTCATTTACGTCAATGATCTTTGCATTACATTTTGATGGACTAAAACAGATCCCTCAGTTCTCAATTGGCATCCATTTTCATGTGCATAACTTCAGGCCTTTTCTGGAAAAACAGTGCAATACAGATCAATCTAAAACTTAAAGATTCTACTCTCCAAGCAGAGGTTGATGGGGGAAGATCGTTAGCTTTTTATATATGGCCTGTTTTGTTTTGTCTTTTGTTGCTACCCCAACGTGGACACTTTGGCAATGGATACTGCCTGGCCAATTTGATACTATCTTTTTGCCACCCTAGGATTTGCTTGGAGATTAAAGATTCCCCATGTGTTTGCTAACATTTATTTTCAACTCTGACATTTTTTTGTCCGTCAGCTTTCACCGCAGTCCCGGTCCACACAACATCACGAGCAGCAGCTTGCTGATTGGCTGAGCCAGCTCGGACTGATCGTGTACCACGACAAACTGGTTCGAGCCGGATGGGACCGGCTGGAGTTTCTAGACGACATCGCGGAGCAAGACCTGATCGACGTCGGCATGACGATGAAGGAACAGCGCGAACACTTCTTGAGTCAGGTCGAGAAAAGAAAGGAGACGTCTATTTAGTGCCAACACACATGTAGTACACACAACATTCATGAACTGACTCATTAGAATGTAGTAGTCTTAGATTTTAGAAAGAAAAAGTAAAACTGATTGTAAATCAATTATACACATAATTTTTTATTATCATTTTTTTTACAATAATTGAAGATGCTGTCTTCATATGTTTAAGCAATAAAGATAAATATTGCAGGTTATTGACCTGCATGTACATGTATGCTAGAATTTGTGTAACACTGGTGAAAGGTGAGATGTTTATGAAGAGAACTTATTGATCATGAAATTAAATGTAAAGGATAGACAAAGTATCTAAGGGAGAAGGGACCATGGTTGGTGTGGTAATTTTTTAGATTCAGTCATTCCACTTGTTGGCTGTTGGGTGCTTTGTGCAATTTTTTGGGGGGATGAGAGCAGTACTTTTTCCCTTTAGTAGTCACTTAAATGTGTGTATCATGTGTTAAATGGGGTAGTGAGCTTTTGCAACTACTCCCCCTGGGGCCTGTTACAGGTACTGCAGGGAACAAACACTGCACATGGCAGTGGTCATGAAGGTTTGTAATCCTCATGTCTAACCAGCAAGCTTTAAACAGAAAGCTCATTGGTTTTGCTGTGTATCATTGGAGATCCGATACCTGAAAGAGGTGAATATGGTGTTAAATTTGTACAGCGGTGCCTTTCCTAATGTGATAAAAGATATACTGTATTGATATATGCATGGAGGTTCAATCTGATCAACGAGGTTGAAAAGTGGTCTGATACTCTGAATCAATATGCTGGATATATGTGAAGACAAATTTTATAACGTCTGTATTTTAGACATTACAATGGCATTTCTTGTGTTCTTTCTAAATGATGCCTTATAAAGGTGGACAATCATGCCTATGTGCCTCCTGCTATAATCATGATACATATGAATGACGACTTCAGGGTACCGGTAATAATGAACCAACCAGTAGTACTACTTGTACGTACACGTACCTAGTATTTGTTTATACTGCTGCAGGGGTACCTGACACAGTAGCCTGGTATCCAGTCTTATCATGGTAGGGGCGGGTTTTCCTCGGGGCTGCAGGAGCTCTTCCCCGCCCCCTTCAACTAGGTTTCCCGCTAGTTATTTCACGATGGGAGATTGATTAGCCCTACGGTGGGGCAAATCAACTCCCGGGCGTGCCATCTCTATTAGCGTAAGGCCACACCAAGTAAATTTTATGGATGACGTCCTTTGGAGACCCTATATCTAATGCGAGAGGGCGAAAAAAAAACAAGAAGGGCCCTAAAAAACAAGATGCCTAGATTAGAAATATACTAAGAGACGACAAATTGAATGAGGTGACAAAGTGTATACAAGCAAGAAGTCTTTTATTCATCATCAAAACAGCAATAAATCAGGTGGAACAGCAGTTGTCGTCCTGTCCTGTTTCTTTCACATTTTTGCAGGCCTGCAGAAACAAAGCATGTGCTCTTTACCCATTTCGCGTTACGGGTTTCACGTCGATCTAACGATTTGGGGCACTGTCGTGACTCTTTGGTCATAGTTACAGGAAGCGGGATTTCTTGTTTTTTTTCTAGGAACAGGTCAAAATCAATGCGCGCGCGGACGTCATCCATAAAATTTACTTGGTGTGGCCTAATACTCCTACCGGGCGGCCTGTTGGTACTGGGCGGAGGGAAGCTATTACAGCCCCGAAGACACAGCCTGCCCCAACTACCATGCCCCAACCACGATAAGATTGGATACCAGGCTACTGACACAGGGGTGTAGCCTGGGTTCCATCCTGGTTAGTTTACGTCCGCTCCTACAGTCGCTACTGGTTGGTGGTAGCGACTGTAGGAGCGGACGTAAACTAACCAGGATGGAACCCAGGCTAACGGGTGAGCAGCAGTCTACAATTCCACACTTGAATGACACATTCCATCCAAGATTTCGTAGTAGCCGTAGTTTGGTGATCATTTGAATTGGAATTAATATTTAAAAGAAGAATAAGCCTTAACTATGAATTTATATAATTATTCCAAGTTTCAATGTTTTATTTATATCAGCAAAGGAAAATAAATGTACCTACTGTGCCTTAAGGATGTGCCGAAATGATCGTGTATTTTATCTGTCTTACTAAAAGTAGAGAAAGTCTTACACCTTCACCTTTGAATGCTGCGTTACAAAACTATCTTTGCATATATAATAACCGGTATTTCAGCTGGAAGGAAGCGGGTTGCTGACTTCAAGTAGACCAGGAAGAGCCCTAAAATTACTATTGATCTCCAGGAAGTTTTTAGACGTTTTGTCGGCTTTTTGTCAACTTAGATTAAATTATTTTCTGTATCCTGGCATATATACTGAAAGAAAAGCCGACGAAATAGGAAGCCCGACGATACCTCTAAAATGTTATATTTTAAAAACGTCCAGAAACAGGCCTAACCGCCTTTGAGATTAGAAGTGACCTGCACACCTCATAATCGAGTCACATCTCAGGTCTCCCTTATCTCTCACCTGATAGTAACGTTAGCGGCTTTTAAACAGCGTCGCCTGTTAGAAAAGAAGACAAAGAGTTGAGTTTTAGCGGGCATTGGCAGACGATTTTACATTCGAAGTTTCATGCAGTCCCCATGTCCCTTGCTTCCGGGTGAAGTCGCCAAGTCTTTGCACGCATGCCCTCAAGCGTTCTTTTATGCATGGGTATTTGGCTTCATGCATGGAAGCAACTGTACAATGGACAGGCAACACAACATTTCATGCACATGGCAATGTTTTCAAAACCTAAATCTCCCCCGCAACTGCTTTCCTTCAACAGTTCTTGAACAATTCTTGAACATTTTTAAAATTCCAATCATTGCAACGAGGTAATAACGCCAGACAAGGGTCAGGTTTTACCACTGCACCGGAAAAGTTTGATTTACGGCAATGTCTACTCCAGAAGCTGTAAACAGTACTTTTAAGTCCGGTACTATTTACAAAGTAAACATCAGCCGACTTACTGTCACTTGACTACCAATTGTAAACCCAAGCTTAGGACCGTCTACAGAAGATGTATAGTTGATGTCCTTGGTAAACCCAAACTTTTCGTGCAGTATATATGTTTTAGGAAACCAGAGCGAACTCTTGAATTTCACGCATTGCCAATGTGTAACCTTATACTTGTGACGTAAATTCATGTTTACGGTCAACAGTGCCCCCCTCGAGCTCTTGTTGTTGTTTAACATTGCCATGAAATATCACAGCTTTGTGTCCGACAACAAGCCTCAGTACACGAAGCGGTGTGCAGACTAGTGTTTCCGCCACAGTACGGTCGAATTATCCGCTATTTTTAGTAGACACTACGTAATTTCAAGTACCACATGTATTGAGGATGTAGATTTTGTTTAATAAATCCCCATGTTTATTAAGAAAACACCGCGATATCACATGTTTGTTTAATAAATACCTATTGTTTACGACAGCATCATAATACAATGTGTTTGTTTATTAAATCACCATGGTATCAAGGAAACACCATAATATCACCTGTCTGTTTACTACGTCACCATGGTATAAAGAAAACACCATATGTTTCTTTATCATATCACCACCATAATATCGTGTTTGTGTAATAAATCACCATGGTGATCAAGAAAACACCATAATATTACGTGTTTGTTTGATAAATCACCATGGTGATTAACCAAACAACGTGAGATCACGTTTCGTGGCTGGTTATTTCCCGCAACTTCATTTGCATATTGGGGATTTTTTTGGGGGTGCCATGACGTAATGTTTAGCACCTGCCATTGGTCCTATGGAGGTGTCCCAAATTACGGCCACCCTTCTAGAAGCTTGAGAAGTGGTGTAATGTTATGACCAGGAAGAGAAAAAAAGTGGCGTGATCTCGTAGAAAGGAGAATTCTGGGAATACACGGTTTGTTTTTATGCTGACATGCCAATACAACGACTTCATGCCTTGCTTCTAAACAGGGATACCTATATAAATACCCCTGGTGTTGAACAGACGGTGGTCATTATAAAGCGGCATGGTCGTGTGTGCAGGACCAGTATGCACGGAAGAAATCCCCGGGGTGTTACGTTAGCACCTACCTGGCTGAGGTTTGCTGTACTCTGCCTGATACCTGAGCTGTGCATAACATGTCTCCACAAGGGAAAGGTAAGGGTGCATGGTTTCTTTGCATTGCAGTGCAATGGGCAGAATTAAGAATACGCGTACGGTGGCTGCAGTTAAGTTAAAGGTAAAGCAGCTATCCTAAACTGAGGTGAAACATTTTTTTTTTCAAATACAAAGCTACTAGTGGTAGTGCAATGCGACAATGCACGTGTTTTCAGCCAGGCCTACTGGGCCACGCCCACTCTTCTCGAGTGCTGGGTTCTTTTACTATCGGAGTTTTCAAACGTGCATGAGGCCAATACATGACGCTATCCCCGGACGAGGATTTGTACATGTGATGAGGTTGTATGCCTATCGCATCTGCCTCTCAAAATGCCGCGGGCAGTACTAGTATTTAAAAAATTATTATGTTGACGCCCCTTTTCATTTGTTCACCTACTATTCTCGATACGTGTGCTGGGCTCTTTTTACTATCGGAGTTTTCAAACCTGCATGAGGCCAACACATGAAACTTCACCATGCACGAGGATTTAAGCCTTATGATGAGATCCAATTATAGCTGCCTATCAAAATGCAGGAGTAGCATTAATTTAAAATCACGTTGACGCCCCTTTTTATTGTTCGACAGAAGCCCTGCTGTGGACGGTGCTGTTCGTGCCGGTTGCCCGAGCGGTCTGTGCCCTTCCAGCCGCGGGCGACTCCCGCCTAGCGCACCGACAGGCTCGCTCAGCTGCAAACCTCGAGCCCTACCAACCGTGTCAGCGGAGAGGCTTCCGACGGGACCTACAGCTGACAATGAGAGCAATCGCACAGACCAACAACACCATGACGAGGATGGTAAGTAAGCACAGCCGGAGGGCACAACTTTAAGATTAAAATACATGTAGCAAGTATGGCACAAAATACGGTTATTTGCAAGCATTGCTTCCGCACTTAGTTGATGTTTTGCCCTATTATTGTCAAAAATATACGTGCTTCATGGTGTGACTTTGTGGCTACAGCAAAAATTAGATATCACAAACGTAACGTGTGAGCGATGCATGACACCTGTCATCTATTTTTCAATCTCGCCCTTTAAATTTGCATAGGCTACTAAAAGCCTTGCATGTCTTGAAATCACTCAGTATCAAAATGTACAATTGCATGTACCTGGTACGACGTTTGGTTTGCATGTTTGGTTTGTGTTTCTCGAGTGGTGCTAATTTTACCTCTTCGTTAAACTTGAACCCAGTTGAAGTGTTTTTCCTCTCGTGCAGAGCTATTCCCCGGCGGCACTAAGTTCCGCAAGGCTAACGTATTCAGGGGTGCCAGACTGAGAGTATACAGTGCAATTTTAACGGAATACAGTGCAATCGTATTACTAGTAAAATTGCACTGTATACTTGTAAAATTGCACTGTATACTAAATACGATTGCACTGTATTCCGTAAAATTGCACTGTACTAACTTTGTACAGTATTCCGTAATACAATGTATTGCGCTGTATACTAGTAAAATTGCATGTATTCCGTAAAATTGTACTGTATTCCATAAAATTGAACTGTATACTCTGGCACCACTGGTATTGCCGCCGGCTAGCTCTGCATGCATATGAAAGAATATGTGTCTTTTCCCAAGTCAGAACAAGTTTAGTGATGTACGTGTGTTCGCTGTGTTTGTTTATTAGAAAAGGGCCTTCTTTCGCTCTGAATCTTACGACACCGGTTCGATCGCCTGGGATGAGCTCCCCACTACCGACTACCTCCAGGTGAGACGATGTCTTACTTTTTGGCTGACGATTCGTGGGGGAAACGGTATAAGCTTACATGTAACTACCTATATATAACACTAGTACTAAACGTCCAACCAATAGGAATTCCCTTTTACGTGCACCACGTGTACAGCCACGCCTTAAACTTAGCCATTGAACCTGTAGTGGTTCAAATGAACCAAAACATGTTGTTGCCGGAACGGGAAAAACAAACACCATAGATATACTGTCCCCCAGGTTGTAGGGGAATCCCCTTTGATGGTCGGACTTTTCACATTATACATACACCGGAATATACGATAATGCGCTATACAATTATGTATTGTTTTTGCAATTGAGTGAATGGTAAAATGGTTTGGTGTTTTAGAATTCTATACAATTACCGAAATATACAATTATAAGAAATACAAATAAGTGGAATCTACTGTACTATAGTCCAGGCGTAGCCTAACCTGGGTGCTCCTTGCATTCGCTAGCCCGAAAAGAAAATCTTCGGGCCAGTAAGTGCAATGTGTTACTCTCCAAGCAGAGGTTGTGGGGGAATGATCGTTACATTTTTATATATGGCCGTTTTTTTTTGGTCCTGATCCCCACCCGTCGGTGGCCGCGGAGCTTCTCTGGCTAATGGATACTGCCCGGCCAATTTGATACTGTCTTTTTGCCACCGAGAGGGATCTGCTTGGAGATTACAAGGTGTCCCGTAGCGCTGAATCGGATGGCACCCAGACTAGTTCAGGGTTAATTTCCTGTAACTTTCCGAACATGCATAACTTGAACACTGTTTTTAATGGAAACCTGTACATTATTTAGCAGGACGGCGGGCTGGTTCCCCTGTTCCGTAACCTGAGCCGCTACCAGGTGGCCTTCCCTGACGTCATTCTCCAAGCACGTCGTCTACCTGGCTACAGCGCCACCCTGCGGCGGTCAATGAACAACACCAACCACGTCCTGAACAACTTACTGTATAAGCTGAACCTGACGGTAAGAACAGTTGAGAAACCACCATGATCCCAAAAGATAAAAACTCAGCCATAACTTCCCATCAGTAATTGGTGCACATTGTTTTGTACAGTTTTCAAGTTACAGTAATTTTTACTTTACCCGGGGATTGTGAATTTGTGAAGTATCATTGTCAGCATGCCTGTGCGTCTGTCCGTTTTTTGTGTGTTTTTGTAGTTTAATACTACGGAACAGTTTATAGATGAGAAAATAGTTTATTCATTGAAAACTAACACTAGCAGCTTAAATTGCTTAATTGTGGCTTGTACAGTGTTTAGAAGAGTCACAAGACAATGTGGAAAAGGGGGAAGTTTGTCATCTATCTGATCAGCCTTGGTGTTGTTCTTGAACCTCTCAGATGACGGTGGCGGGAGAGTTGGGCGAGGCCACTGTGCCACAGGGGTGGACAGCAGACCCCGTGCCCCTCCCAGACGTGGGAGACAACCTGTACGATCACTACATCCGGGACTTCGTGTTCCTCCACTGGCTTCACGAGATTCTGGACCTGCTGCGAGACGAGCTCGTGACCAGACTGGAGAGATGTTAGGCCATGTTAATTTGATTATATGGATGACATCCACTGGGAACCCCAAAACTGATGCGAGCGTGCTAATAAACAAAAAGTTTGGCAAAAAAAAAAAAATTTGCTTTCATTATGAAATCTACGTGGTTATGAAGGTTGAACAAATGATACAAAGTATGGTATTGCGAATAATCTACTCTTCAAATTCATTTCTTTAAATTTTCGTTTTTCTTTGGATTTTGGCATTCTACGACATTGGTATCGTTTTCCAATATCTTTTTGCAACTTAAGGTATTATACATTTGCTCATTTTGCAACTGTTTTGTACGATTTACAGTATGGTTGAAACCTTTTTTTAAACGGCCGAAAATTCATGCGCGCGTGGATGTCAACTATATAATCAAATCAACATGGCCTTAGAAACGTACTAGTATAAATCTCCAAGCAGATGTTTGGGTGGAAGATGACTGTAGATCACTTTACAAACATCTCCCAGCCTACTCTGAAACTAAGCAGAGTTTTGGGTTTTGGCTTATTTCTTGCTGTGTTTTGGGGCTTTCGGGCTTTCTTTTTTGTACTGATATGTCTTTTTTACGCCAACCTGATATCTTTTTTTGCCGTAAAAAAGATACAAGTGCAAAAACAAGCCTGATAAAAAAGCCTAAAACTCGCTAAAAAATAAGCCAAAACCCAAACCTCTGCTTGGAGAGTACTCCCACCCCAGCATCGGCAAGTGCTAAGGAACAACTGCTACATGACAGTTCCTATGCTATGAGATCATCACATGCTAGTTGGGAATTTGTATATGCATGTTGAAGTTTGCAGACAAGTCCTATGTAGGCACTATGTGCCAATTAACGTACATGGTAACCATGAATCGTATGTCTCGTTACAGAGACGGAAGATGAACCTCATACCGTATGTATACCTCAAGAGTGACACTAACAAGTGCAAAAGTATTGTTGCTATGTAACAGTTAGTTCCTACGATTATGTATCAAATACTGGGTGTTGCTATAATATAGTAAAAAGTTACCGTTTGTATATAGTGTTTTTTAAAATTTTATCTATAGCTATACTTGACGAGGTCAAGGGATAGGTAAGGTGAGATAATAGCTATACTTTCTTGACTTTTTTTTTAATTTGAACTTTATTACCTCCGGGGAAGGAGATATCCTTCCGCGAGGAGGTTTTACTATGGTTCGAAACATTTCTGTCAGCAGCTGTTTCTCGCGATCGGCTGGACGGATTGGTCTGTTGTTCGGTATACGTATTGCTATTGGGCTGCAGATGATGCAGAACGTTTTTGTTTAATTGCATATGTGTTTATGGGCGTCGAAATAAAAGGTTTTTAAGTGCTGCGGACACCCCCGCCATGCTGAAAATGGAATTTACCATCTTGTTAAGGAATGGGGAGGTTGCAGTTTTGGGTCTTAGGATTTAAAAGGGGTCAAACAGAGGGGTGTCTGGTTCCGATAAAAAATTTGGGTGACGGAGCAGCAATGACGGCGGGGGTAATGGCGCGGGTGACGGTGCAGGCTGTCAGACACGTTAATCAACAGTCCATACCAAACCAACCGTCAGTAGCCATCGTTTAAACACATACAAACATATTACGCACATAACTTTCATACTACACACAAACAAATAACCTAAACCAATAGAATACAAAAAAAACCCGGAGGTTTGAAATCTACGATTTTCCTTGTTCATTTTATAATAAGGAATCAAAGAGTTTGCTTTTTGGTATGAAAACTGATGGCTAAAACGTTTAGTAAACTGCTTTAGGAAGCCTTATGTATGTGTAAGTTTGCGGACATGCCTAATTGTCATTGTTTTAAATGACGTAGGCACTATGTGTCAATAATATACGTTTAATTTTTTAATTTAAACTTTATTCATTTTATCTATAAGGAATCAAAGGTCCATAGAGTTTTCTTTTGGTATGCGAAATGCTGAACGTTTTTGTATACGGCTTTAACAAGTCTAACTTGTGGAAGTTTGCGGACTTGCCTAATTGTCCTTGTTTTAAATGACGTACGTAGGCACTATGTGTCAATAATGTACATGGTGTCCATGAATGGTATGTCTCGTTACAGAGATAGAGTTAGAAAAAAGCAACTGTTTTACTAATGTTTTAAGACAATTTCCCAAACCGATTCATATATGTTTTAGTTTATTCGTATGGCTTTTATAACTTTCGTATGAATACCTACTAAGATTTATGTCGGAGAGTAGTCTGAATTATGGGTCATAGAAAGCTAGCATGTACATGAAAGGCCCCAGTGAGAAATAAAGTGTGTGAGAAATGAACATACTCTCCTTACTCATATGTTGTAGAGCCACGTTCTTGTTGTGACAGTGTGGTGGATGAGTTCGGGCTGGTATTGTGGAGGTATGTGATCGAAGAACTCTAGTCGGAACTTGTTCCTCCCGACTGTAATGATATACCCTATCTACTGGAACAATTTCTTATCATACGGGTGCAGATTTCGACAAAGGGCACGTCTTGTGGTTTCCTGTCAACAAACTGCCGGAAAGGACCAGGGTAAACTTCAAATCAATCAACGGGTCAACTACGGGACACAGCTCTTATCAGAACCGCAATACGATTCACTCGTTCCTCTATTCCATAAGGCAAGGATCAGAGTTTCTTTTCCGAGAAGATGGCACAAATAGGTGTGAAAGTCGCGTTGATGGTTGCAACGTGTATTTGCTCGACTGTGTGCGACACACAGCCCCAACCTCACGCGTCGTGGGCGGCGGAGGAGAGTCCAGAGCTCCACGGCAAGGCTCCTAACGTCCACTGCTCCTGTAACTGCGCCCTGCCGACCCAAACCGACCGCCAGACATGCGAGAGCGTCGCCAGCATGAAGTCGGACCTGGACGCGCTCCTGACGTGGAAGGGTGTCGCTACGAACCACCTGCATCATCTCAAGAACTCCTTACAAATGGTTCACAAACGTCTGGACAACTTCTCGGAGAAAGGGTGTTCTCAAGAATCTGCTGAATCGTCGCTCATTGAAGACATCGTGGCCAACATCAGCCACAAGATAGAAGAGGCGACGGAAAATATCATCTTCAACGTTAAAGGTGGGTGAACTGGGGCTTTTCACGTATGAATAGTGGTTGGTTGTAGTGGGTTAGCTTCAGTCTATCTATATCTGACAAAACGGAATAGACCCTAGTTCTAGACGGAAATTTTAAGCGTGATTTAAAGCTGACACGTCGATTGTAAGAAGAAGCCGTTAGTTTCATCATTCACAGGGGGTGTGCTCATTCGAGGGTACTTATAAATGACTGCATAATGTACCGGTGCAGGTCCGCATCCCCTGGGGGTCGAGTCAGGTGAGATCCCGGACGCCCAGATCTACGCGTCGTCAGAGTTCGATGGCCAACACGGGGCGAGGAGGGCCCGACTGTTTACGGTGCCGGATGAGGACGGCACTGGGGCGTGGTGCGCGAAATACAACGACGCCGACCAGTGGCTCCAGGTATCTACACATGTACTCGAGCTCGCGTATAACTCTCTCTGTGTGTGTGTGTGTGTGTGTTTACGTGTGTCTGTGTGTGTTGGTACACGTGTGTGTTTGTGTGTGTGTGCGTGCGCGCGTATGTGTGTCACGGTCTCTGTGTGTGTGTGTCACGGTTTGTGTTTGTACACGCGTGTGTGTGTGTGTGTGTGTGTGTGTATGATTTATTATGGCCACATTTCATTCTCAGGTTGACCTAGGAAAGCCTGCCGAGATATGGGGCGTGGTCACCCAGGGTCGCTTTGGTTCGGAACAGTGCGTGACAGCTTACAAACTCAACTATAGCATGAATGGCCTCTTCTGGAGGCCCTACGAGGCCTCTGGTCGACAGAAGGTACTAGTATTTTCAATTCTTTTCACAATATTTTGTTTATTATTTTTGTTTTTGATGACAGAATAACGAGGGTACAAACATTCGGCCATCAGTCTCAATCAGAGGAAATGTTTTACCAGGTGTTCCAAGGTAATGAAGACGCCAACACGCTGCAGCGCCACCTGTTTGCCAATCCGGTTACTGCACGCTACGTCCGATTCTTGATCCAGGCGTGGAGAAACCACATCTGTATGAGGATGGAAGTACTGGGCAGATATAAGTAAGCTATTATTGAATAATCGGGCAATCATAGCCTTCCTGACAGTGTTTATTATACTATATAACGCATATAAACATTGTAGAAGTATGCATTTAGCTGGTTGCGGTTGGTATATATAATGTTACACTTTCAAAAACATTATACAGAGCAAAAGGCTTGTCTACATTTACTAGCATGTGTACAGTCAAATAGTTATGACGTTCATAAAAGTACATTGCGACATTATTATCCATTATTTCTGAGCTTTCTTTACACTTTACACCATTAAAATACTTGATCTCATGTTCTTTCAAACATGACTGTAGTTGCATACACAACAGAATTTGCTAACAATGGCTATGAATTTTAACGATGTACAAATGTACATCCAAATACATGAATAAAGATCAGCTAAGTGCACATGGTATAATAGTACCTTATTCCCCTTACATGTACGTGTATCACATTGTTTGTTATATATAAAAGTTAGTACTACATAAAATGTACCTTATTGTATATATTACATATTTTGGAGGTGGATTTATGGTTCAATCTTTCATTCAGTTCATTCATTATTTCATGTTAACAGTGCATGTATATCCAAGAAATACCACTGTATAAGAAGGTACAATGTCAGTCTGTACATGTAAACTGCAGGGTTGCTTTGTTAGGTGAATGTATTGGAAGGAAAGTCCCATAACCAAGGGAATGGAGCAATGTAGCAATGTGTGGACGTCACACCAAACTGATGCCAAAGTATCAAGAACATGCAATGAAAAAGGCCATTTCATAAACATGACAAGTCCATCCCTGTCTTTGGTGCTGTATGTGCCATTCGTGTCCTTGGTGCTGACAAGACCATCCCTGTCCTTGGTGCTGACAAGACCATCCCTGTCCTTGGTGCTGTACACACCATCTCTGTCCTTGTGCTGACAAGCACATGCCTGACTGTCTTTGGTGCTGTACACACCATCCCTGTCTGTCCTTGTTGCTTTATGTGCCATGTCTGTCCTTGGTGCTGAAAACGTCCTTCATTAAGAACATGCTGCATTGTGTACAGTGGGGTTTTGGACATCACTCACATTCTTGTGGCAAATGAAGTATGCATGAGGCAGATCCTTCAAAGTGCTATAGGCTTCACTCTCGTTTGAATATGGAACAATGGCTTCTAACATTCCCTTTGAAGTCATAGATCAGTACTACGTACATACAGAGAGTTCTGGTCAGTCCACCAGTCATTGTGGTCTGCATGTGGAGTTCCCAACCACTACATTTTTCTAAACGTCCTTGCCCCAGCCCACTGTCTTACATATACATGCTATGGAGTTTAATGGAGGTTAAAGAGATGCAGATCATTTGGCTTGTTGTCACCTATAGTAAGCATTGAAGTGTTGGTGTAACGTTCCTCTCATTGCTACTGTACATTTTCTGACAATTCCAGAGCTTGACAGTCAAATCTCATTGCTTCACTCCTGCAAGTTCACGAGACTGTCACCTCCCTATCCCCGCTACATTTATCTCAATATCAATGTTCTCCCTCATTGAACTGAATGTTTGTATCTGCTATGATTGGGTTACAGTATGCTGTACATTGGATGAGATACTAATATATTTTTCTACCATTCTATCTTGTATACCTGAATCTGTTCTTATTCTTACTTCTTCCTGCTATGGATTTTCAAGCCTCCTGCTACTCAAATTCTTCTTCCTCAATGTGCATGATTGTGTAGTACTTGGTTGGTTAAAATGAACATTGCATAATATATTATGACTACAGTACTTGAACAATGCATATTTTTACGTTCAGCTAGCATCAAAATGAAACAATTGATATACAGTACATGTATAATGATGCTTAGCATCAAAATCAAAAGATTAGACTAAACACATTTTTAAAAGCGTTTACAACTTCACACCAAACACCCAAATTACAAAACTACAAAATAAGAAACTTACTTGAGAAAAAAACAGTAGATTTGTCCAAGTGGTTTTCAATATTTATTTGTAGCTCCCGTAGCAGGCTTCTTGACTGGGCTTTTTCTGGCTCACCAAAATTGTGCTGTTTCCTGATAGTACAATGTATATCAGTTGTACCGGCTGGGTGGCTGTACATATCAGAAACCCAGTACAAGAAGCCTGGAATGAAGTCTAACTAATTTGCATGTTTTGTTTTGCTAGTTTTGTTTCTTTCTGACTGGCTGCATGGTCTGTTTACTGCATTTTTGTGGTCCTCACTAATGGAGGTGAATATTTTTAAAATGAATCTGAACTTTTAAGAAATTCTTTTCTTTTCAAATGAAGACTGACTTCATGTCGCATGCAAGCTCCCCTCCCCTGGGATCTCCCAAGGCCAGTAGGTGTTGGGTAGTGTGAGGGGGAGGGACACATGCTGAGGGGTGTTATAGGGTCCTTTAGCCCCTACTATCTCCCATGGCCAGTAGGTGTTAGGCAGTGTGACAGTGGAAGAGGATGCAAGCTGTGGTGTGTTACAGGGTCCCCGAGCCCCAGTGATCTCCCATGGCCAGTAGGTGTTAGGTAGTGTGACGGTGGGGAGGGACGCACGGCGTGGTGTGTTACGGGGTCCCTCATCTGGAATCTCCCATGGCCAGTAGGTGTTAGGTATAGTGACGAGGGGAAAGGACACACGTTTTGATGCGTTTCGGGTTCCATCCTCTGAAATCTCCCATGGCCAGTAGGTGTTAGGCAGTGTGAGGGGAAGGGACACACGCTGTGGCGTGCTATAAGTTCCCTTTCCTGGGATCTCCCATGGCCAGTAGGTGTTAGGTAGTGTGAGAGAGGGAAGGGATGCTCGTCTCGGCGTGTTTCGAGTTCCCTCCCCAGTGATCTCCCATGGCCAGTAGGTGTTAGGTAGTGTGAGAGAGGGAAGGGACGCACGTGTCGGAGTGTTTCGAGTTCCCTCCCCTGTGATCTCCAATGGCCAGTAGATGTTTGGTAGTGTAGGGAGGGACGCACGCCATGGTGTGCTACGGATTCCCTCACTTGGCCAGTGAGTGTAGATGTTTGGTTGTGTGACAAAACGTGAATGCTCTGCAGTGGCAGCATAAAGAGTGGGACGCCTCTCCCATGGCCAGTACTGGTTGCTTGGTTTTCTGACAACGTTTGAATGCCCTACAGCAAAGTTATAAATAGACACGGGTCCACTGTCATCATCTGGGATCTCACTGTAGGTAGGTGGGAGGGGGGGCAGAGGGCGTTGTGCAGCAGCTACATGGTCAGGGATCTGACTGTAAGATGACTCAATGGAATTGAGGACAACAGGTAGTGACCTATAGGAGGCAGTGTCCTCTGATGCCAGCCTGTGGATACGCTTGGGGAGGGAAGCAGACCTGAACAAACCAGGGAAGGCAATGCCAGGAGGAACGGTCCATACGTGTGCATCCTTGATGGTCCTCAAGGCTGCTTTTGACTTTGCTGAGTACACCTTGTGCCTTGCAAACACTGCAAGGGCCAACAGAAGCAAAGCACCTGCTGCTGTTAAAACAGAATTGAGAACATTACCTGATGCAGGAGGTATGTGGCGTCCGTTCTTGGTGCTGAACTGCACAGTAGACTGGCCTGTTGGCTCCAAACTGACTGGGAGCATCCTACTAGTATTATATCTAGTTTGTGAAAGGAAGGGTGCAATGCTGCTAGTCTGGTCATCGTCAATTCTACGGGCTGTGACTGTTGTAGTTGGCTGAACTGGTACATTAGGGATGGTAAACGTAGCAGTAGTGTAGCCAGTTTTGCTGATCAGAATACAGGTAGCGTTCTTCGAGTTCTCATGGGTGTCAGTTGTGTTGGAAGCGTGCTTTGGGATTTTCGTTTTGAGTGTGCGTGTGTCCTCACCTGGTGAGACATTGATGACCATGGCAACAGCCCTCTTTGTCGCATTCCCTGCGCTCATGGAAACTAATCGGAAGCTTCTGCGATTTTTAAAGACCAACGAAATGCCCACATCTTGCTCCCAAACCTGTCTACACTGCTCAGACATGTCAAGGACCTGTTCAGCTGCTTCATAGCTATCAGTAGCAATGATGACAGCAGGTGGCTGGCCAGTAACCTTACTAACCGGGTACGAATCCCACCCCTCACAGACATCTGCTGCTTCTTGTTTCAAGTGATCGGGTAGGATGATTGATGGATCAAAGGTCCACCGAACTAAAAGCTCATGAGTTGCCTGACCATACATGATACAGGAAATGAGTGTGGGCAACTTAACAAGTATGGTCGTCCCTTTCTCTAACAGATTACTACCAGTGTTGACACCCAGAGTCCACATCATTGGATGTGCCGTAGCATCAGGAACAGACACTAACATGTTACCACTGATTTGGAGTAACGACAGCCCTGCCTGTTCCTTAAATACCTCGCTGTTGAGACTCAAAAGGTCATTTCCACGCAGATCCAGCTTGTACAGTTGCACGTTTTGGAATGCCCTTGGGGAGATTGTCCGAATGTTGTTTGATCCCAAAAACAAGTACAGCAACCTGTTCAGTCCTGCAAGCCAGGCATGGTCCACAACCTGCAATTTGTTGTCCCCCAGGTCAAGGTAACTTAACGGTGCCCTGGCTAGGAGTGTGAAAGCCCCTGGATCTATCTGCTGGATTTGGTTGTTGGACAAGATCAGTGATCGAAGGGGTGACTTTTCTAAGCCAGAAAACCACTCCAGCTTGACATGCCTCAGTCTGTTGACAACTATGGCCAGGTGGGAGAGACAAGTAAAGCCATTCAGGGTGCCAAATTCTAAGTCGGTGATAAAATTATCGTTCAGAACCAGAGTTTCCACCACAGAACGATCAAGGGATGCCAGTTTCCTTGCTGAGAGAACACCGAATCTGTACCCTCTTATTGCCAGATTTTTTGCACCAGAAACATCTGCGAGAATTGGAGGACTACCTTGGACAAACTTCCCATCAAAGCCCATGCAAAAGACACACGTGCCCTGCTGTATGCTTTTCAAATAGTCGGACACGTCTTTGAAGGAAACACATGCGTTCCAGACATCTACCTGCCAACACCGACTAATACCAACGGCACCAGCTGAAGCTCCATGCCCGGCTACCACGAGCAGGAAAATCAGCAGCCCAGCACAATTCCTCCAACAACTTAAGTCCATCCTGTCCAACCGCTTGAAATCATCCTCTAAATGTCTAACCTGATAGAAAGACACAACACTAACCTGGGCTTGTCAACATCAACCAACCGCAGAAGCCGATCAACTACCACTGGACTTGTTCCCTCTGTGTTGAACACACCCAACAAGCTTGATACCGCCAAATGTGCAACACGTGGAGCTACTACACTGACTTTATATACCAGACAAATCATTCCAGGGCCTTAAAACTCATTTACTATCAGATGAAAAGAACTGAGAAGTATTAGGAATTATTATTCATAAAGGACCTTGAGCAATTTTGATCATTCAAAAGGGACCTTGAATACTAGTAATGCTGATTATTCCAAAAGGGCCTTGAGTATAATTTCAGTTATTCAAAAAGGTCTGGAGACATGTTTTCTGTAGCGACTGCTCCGTTTCCATGGCAAACACGTAAACAACAGGAAGCGGAGACAAACTCTAGAAAAAGTTGTGCCAACTATCGTGTAGTGTTAAAGAGCAAGCCACTTCTTTGTATTCACACTGTAACTCTCTCGTAAATATATCTACACAAAGATACCAGTAGGTCTCCAAAGCTATATACGCTTGATATAACACCTGCACAGAACACCTACAACATCACAATATTTGTCCTCAGTACTTTATTTTTTCCTTTATGGCATGATTCAAGATTGGCAACTCTTAGTTGCAGACTCTACTCCAAGTAAAGCTATTTCTAACAGTTAAAATGTAATATCTTGTCTCCAGATTTCAGTGGGGTGAAAAATCCTTAACTTCCATCCAAGAGAAGATTATATCATATACACCCCAAATAGAATAAAGTTTATCACTTACTTTTAATAGTGAAATATATGCGGTGGTTTTATGTTCAAGGTTTTTGTGTTGAACACCCACCGACAATCCATTCATCCAAAACATGCTCCGACTTACACTATATTAGTACAGAAGTGTCCATGGCAAACTTAGAACACAGTGAACTATCTCCTTTTTCTCCCAAGTTAACACACATTAAGTCCCCACAACCTTGAATCAATTGACAGTATCTGTTACCCCGGCATTGATGGCTAAAATATAGAATATATAGAAAAGCTAATGGCCAGGAAGGATATCTATTGCAACATTACACATTATACTATTAATAGCTCTTCCCCTGGTGCTATAGTAACTACATTTTGTTGCACAAGTCCTGTTCTACATAAATGATGATATGCACTGTATCTGTACACAAGAACAACTATCCCTAAGGTTATTTTACATCTCACATGTCCTACTAAAACGTAACAGGTACGTAAATGGAAATTCACACAATGCTTATAATATAAATATCAGTGAGCACTTCACCATTATAAGATATACATCTAATTACCTTTTAGCCAATAAGCATACAAGATCCACATCACCAGTAGCAGCCTTAATACAACAATGATACACAAAGAGAAAATACAAGGTTAATGTAATCTTAGTTATATTTTGTGGGAGCCTTGGCTCTTTCATCATGACCTTGATGAAAAGTGGCCAATTTCATGAATATACAAATACCCTTGAAGGTGCCGTCACACACAAACAGGGCTCACTCCAGCTCTAATCATTTTCTCTGTCCTTTTAGTTTGATGGTGTATGGCATGTTACCTTCAGAAATTTTGAAACTTTAAAAAGCTGACTTCAACCTGTTTATCTGCTATTTCCTGTGTTCTATGGGGGCAAATTTCAAATGGCTTCAGTTGAAGATTGTAAGAAAAATTTGTGGCACTGTTGACAATGTGATGAAAAAATCAAGTCATGTCAATTTTTGTTTGTCATGGTTGAAATCTGTACATAAATTCCATCAAAGGAGGGACAGATGTTGGAGTTAGCCCTGCACACAAAACTAGAACAAACAACAATGTAGCCATCACTCTTGGTTATTAGTTATAGGTGTGCTTTACCAATTTGAGTCCTGAAATCAGTTTACATTTCAACCAGCACATGATGCATCAATCTAGGACTACTTTATGTATTAACCTGTAGACATTTTGTGCTGGTTGAAGTGTAACCTGGAGGTTGTGTTCCCCTATCAGGGTTCGAAATACTGGGTGCATGTGCACCTTAGTGCACCAATAATTGGAGCTGTGCACCCAATTTTTTTTTGTAGTTGCACTGGTGCACCCAAATATTTTTTGTAGGTATTTTGTACATATCACATGACGTATAATAGTATACAGGATATTCTTGGCATCTAAGTGTCAGAAAAATGATAAAACCTATCTTTGTTGTAGTCCTTGTTTAAGATTTTGAAGTTAGCTCCCATTTCAGTTTCAAGCTCAGAAGAGAAGTTGAAGAGAAGTTTTGTTTTATATGGTGCACCCCAAAAACATTGTTGTGCACCTAATTTTTAGGTTGGGTGCACCAGTGCACCTATTCCCAAAAATGGATATCGAGCTCTGGTTATCACGGCACATCCTGGTACATGTAGGATGGCCCTTTCTGCTGGGGTGGTGGGGGGACGGGCTGGGGCGGCGGGGGGATTTCTGTGGAACTGTCCAGCGGGCCATACCTCTCCTGGGCAGCATCTACAAAAATAAATAAGTTCCATTATGCTACATCTACAAATGTATTCATTTTTCCCACTGACTTCAAGAAGGCAGCAGACATGAATATAGCATGAAATTGAAGGCAGTAAATGAGGAGACCTTTAATAACCAACATGTAATGTACTTCCTCTCTGCCTGCTAGGAGACCATTTCGACCTCCAATTTGATCTACCCGTCAGTCTACAGTTACACCATTTCCCCCTTCACTAGCAGTGACTCTCCTCTATTCAAACAACTATGGACACACAATAAAACAAACACGCAAACACACTGAAAACAAAACCTCCCTACACGGAGGTAAAAGTACTTACCGAAGTTCATGTACATCTCGCCTCCTCTCTCGCGGTACATCTGGTACAGCAGCAGACAGGTGAAGGGTTTCAGGATCAGGTTGAGAATGGCCATGCTACAAGGTTAAGGGACGTACTACGCAAAAAAGGCTTCATTTACAATCAGCTACGAATGCAACTGACAGGTTGGGAGGTTATGAATCTGCTTAAAAGCTGTCCTGACATCAGATATCCTTGTATTGTTGTAATATCAAATGAAATGATAGAAACTAAGTCTGGGATTGTTTCACATAGCAAAACAATAGCAATGACATAGGATGTTACCAGTACTAGGATAATGGGTAGAGTACTAGTATATCCCAGCCCAGGCCCCTGTATGTTACAAAAGAGAATCATTCAAATAGTTCAAAGAATCTTAATGTTTCACAGTATCAAAGAATCTTAATGTTTCACAGTATGTGTTACCAACCAGGAAGATATCTTTTCAACTGAAAGAAAACTTGAAAACATATGCATATACATTTTGTAGGCATAGTGTATACATATAAAAATGTGTCTTAGTAATGTACTATAGTACTGGTTTTGAAAGGATACCCAACAGCAAATCTGAACTCATCTCGCACTGAAGGCTGAGCTGTAGTGGGGACATAGAATATCAGTCATGTAGATTAAAGTTTATCCCTAAATGTACCCAAAGTATCATATGACAAATCAAAAAGTACTCCCAATAAACTGTGGTGTTAACATTCTCTTTAGTATCTTTTTCTACCCTTTCATAATGCTACTCTCACTAAATTATCAATAACTTGGTTGCATTAAAATAAAATTTATATGGTACCCCAGTCCTACCACCACAATTCTTTATTTGTTCCTAATTTGGATTTCAATTGCATTATGAATGAATGAATGCTACATACCATTCTGGTTCTGGATGGATCTGCCATAGTAGATCCCAAAGTGGATGATGTCAAGCAGGATACTAATTGTCATGCCTGCAAGGAACTAAAAACAAACAAAAAAAAATTTAAAGGCAGTTCAGTCCATCCTATTTCCAGTGACCTTAGAGTACCGTTATCCAATGCTATCAACAAGAATGGCAACATTTGATAGCAAATGCAGGATATTTCACTCCCATCCCTCCCTGTATGAGAATCTACCACTCCAACATCAGTTCATGATCACCCTGTGAAAAAATTGACCATTCCAACATTTGAAAACACCCTGGTTGTCACTTACCATGAAGATGGCATCTACTGAGTCCTTCTGTGCCACAGCCCAGACTCCCACAGCTAACACGGTAAAGTTGCACCACTGGTAGGAGGATGGCAGCCATTGTATCACACCACCCATGCATGCCCTGTAATTTGTAAAGACAGTTTTGTGAATCTCTCTAAGTTTGTGATACCCATGCCTTTTGTGACAATCATAAATTTGTGGCATCTACGAATTTGCAGTTGAAACAATAAATGCTCTCCTGAATTTTTTTGCTTGTGTCTTACTCAAAATAAATAAGTAGGGTACTTACCAGACTGTGAGTACCCAATGTCCTAAGACAATAGCCTGCAAATAACAACAAAATATCCATAAACATATGGCACATTATCATAGATACAAATGGTGTCAGTAAAACTTGTGTGTTGTAGATATGCCATCATCGTCATCATCATCAGTGCAGTTGACCACAAGTTGTATCCAAGAAGTTAACATTGATTATTTTATATCTAACGTTACATGTAACGTTATGCTACAGCAGGCCAAAGGGTTGCAAAGCAAAATATAATATGGGTAAAGCAAGGACGTTTTATAGCTTGTAGAATGTTCTTGGGTTAAGGAAGGGGGGAGTGTGCCTTCTCTGATTACCTGATAATGTTCTCACTCTCCCCTTCAACACACTATTCCTCTATCTTGTCTGTATCTCGACCCCACCCCACTTTTCCATGTTTTCTTGGATAATCTTCAGTTACATTATTCTGGTATTTCTTGGGCCCATTTCCTACAAATTACATTACCACACATGGTTTGCCAATAGAAAACATGTAACGCTGCCTTTATAGAAAACGTACAAAACGACAAAAAACAGCGCATCTGCTTGAATACTAATATTTTACCAGCACATGTAAATCGCCCCCCTCCCCACACATCGATCAGTGGAACATCAACACCCTGTAAACATGTCAACACACGATAACGTGAACCTAAATTACTATACTACCCAGGGTTCACGCAAAGCAGCGACTAGGGAACCCCAACAGCATCGTAAACAGCCACATGTGGCGGTAAACCTACCTTCAGGTTGACCACAGTCATGTTCAGAGCCATGACTAGGACGAGCTAAGCGGAATCATGTGATGATGATGGCTGACTGTCTGTGCAAGCAAACGATGACGTCACGCTGTTACAGTAGGTCTCTACTCGGAGTTTGTGGAAAGCCAGCTCCACTGTTTATGCTAAAACATTTAATATTTTTTGTCTAGAAGACCGATAATGCAATTTGTGCGTCAATACCGATACGATATGTTAACATCGCAATAACGTAAATAATATGCAACACCCCTATGTCAGATTCAACTTGGTGAGTTCCGAGATTGGGAACGAGAGGGTTGTTCTGGGAACGAGACGATATCTGACCCTACGTAAAACGGGAAGGAAGATCGTACTTCCTTTCAACAAACTTTAATTTTTTCGTCCAGACAATTCTTCTGTCAGATAACTTCGGTGTTCCCCTGATGTAGAGAGTTGGGTGTCTCTGTGTGACCTTCATGTCGGCAGTAGGGACTCCCTGATGAACAGAGACAACCGATTTTTCCCCGCACCTCCAGTCGTTCGACATTTGGACCGGGGTAAGTCGGAAAATAAAAACACAAATTGTTTTACGATTTTTGTTAAAATATTACTTCGCAAAAGCTGAATTGTGTGTATTTCATCACGTAGAAGTAAGAACGCGTCACTGGTCACGATTTGATCGGCCCGTTGTTAGCACACTGTCTATGTTTTGAAGACCGGTAAATCGAAAGGTGGGAGGGGGGCGATAATTTTTGGAAAGTTGTCATATATGTCATGTCATGTATGTGGTTGCTAGTTAATTGCTTGAATATATTGTATAGTGGTTATTGTGATGACATGGGAAATGACCCATTGCTATGTTTTGTGAAAATATACACAGTTTCCATTGTTTGTGTGTCATATTGTGTTAAAATTTAACATGATAGATTTTTAGAAGGAATCTTATTTTATGTGTTGATACTGGTAACTAGGTGTCCTTTTATCAAATTTTTATAAACCAACTTTATTTTTTTTGTAGATTTGAATATAAGGGATGACTTGATTGGACGGCTGCTGCCTCAGGCCCGCCAAGTCGTGATTCGCCGTCGGCAGGCGTTCCGTGAGCGTCGCCAGGCGCGGCGTGAGCGGTATGAACGAGTGCAGGTGGACGGGGACATGCTCAGGTACGTCCTGTTCTACTCACTTTTATTTTGAACTGTTGGTTTGAACTGCATAACACTCTTATCTGTATCTGTATAGCCGGTATAACTGCCTTTAGCGTAACACACCAGCTTTTGTATCTGTACCTGTATAGCCGATATAACCGCCCTTCGGTGTAACACACCAGTTTCCGTATCTATATAGCCAGTATAACTGCCCTTTGGCATACTCTTTAACACACCAGCTTCGCAGGCACACAGCGCAATGGCAGCTGGCTACATAGTACATTACACTGAACGACATGTTACACCTAACCCTTGAACATCTAACTCTAAACATTCTAATGATGTAAAAATCATGTAAAAACAGTAATGGGCAGTAACTACATGCTACAGTAAGACAGGACTGGTTGCTTTGATTCACAACTCTAATTCTAACTCTAAGACATGCCGCCAATTTAGTCTCTTTCAATGAAAAGGGGGGGGGGAATCATGAAATGATAACATTTTTGGTTTTGTCAAATGTCGACGACTAAGCTTGGCTGGTCATGTAGTACGCAGTGAAGAACCAGCCAGTAGGCTTCTACTCTGGAACCCTGACACAAAGAGAAGAGTTGGACGCCCAAACATAACACTTAAGAAACTTATTGAAACTGAAACTGGCTTGGAGGGACAGGAACTTATCTCTGTGATGTATGACAAACAGTTTTGGCGAGCTAACTTTGTATGCTCCACCTCTACTCTATGATGATGATGATGTTCCTCCACAGTTACCATCCAGATGAAGCCTGGAGAGTAGGAGTGTTTGTGTCGTCACAACCCATCACCCCAGACAGGAACTACTTTGAGGTACAGATTAACATCCCTTCTTCTGAACAGTTTACTATACATATTGTATATGTATACAGAATCTTGAAACATTTGCTGTGTTTTTGTATATGTTTACCAATGTATAAAAACATTTTCTTCACTAGGTTGATATCATTGATTCTGGATTGCTGTCAACAATCGCCATTGGTCTGGTCCCTCTGAACTACCGTCTGGACCACCAGCCCGGCTGGGGTGTCGACTCTGTGGGATATCACGCAGACGACGGAAAGTCAGTGTCATGCAAATTTACATAGACCATTCCTATTTTTTATGTTTACCAAAGGAAAACATATTATGGTTTTTGCTCAGTTTCCTCTTCTCCAAACAGAAAAGGTCAATGACCTGAGACAGACAGTCTATCACCTTGGTAACTAGTGTTAAGTTACATTTTTGCAAATGTTACCTTTCTTGTTTGATACTTGCATTTAAAAAGATAATGCTGGTATGAAAGTCTGATTGCGAAGACTGTACCTTAAACCCGTGTTTCACAGTTTGTCTCTCTCTTTTTTCTCGTGAAGGCTATACAAAGCCAATGGACAAGGCCGGGCCTTTGGTCCCAAGGGTTTTGTTGGTGACAGACTCGGCTGTGGCATCAAATTTGACGAGGAAGGAACACAGGGGAGACCCGCATCTACAGTGTCAGCCTTCTTCACTCATAACGGCAAGGAGGTCAGTCATCAACACTAGTACTGTACTACATGTAGTACAAGCCTCATACGAAAGCTCACTCATCTATGTCTTACTATTCCATGTTGTACTGCTGGGAGTAGTACAGGTCTGGCACACATGCACCAAAAGGCCTGTTCCCTGCATGCTACATAATTACAGGTTTGGACAAGTAAAATGTATTTTGTTGTACCCTTGAGCAGTATCAATGCCACCATCTTGTTATGTGTGTTGTGCCAGTCCATGTTGTATAGCTGGGAATACCCCAGGTTCCCCTGCTAGCAGAAGGCCTGTTCCCTGTTTTAATGTGTGCTGTTCCATGTTGTATAGCTGGGAACGGTGCAGGTTCCCCTGCCAGCAGAAGGCCTGTTCCCTGTTGTAATGTGTGTTGTGCTGTTCCATGTCATACAGCTGGGAACAGTCCAGGTTCCCCTGCCTGCAGAAGGCCTGTTCCCTGTTGTAATGTGTGTTGTGCTGTTCCATGTTATGCAGCTGGGAACAGTCCAGGTTCCCCTGCCCGCAGAAGGCCTGTTCCCTGCGGTGGGGATGCACTCGGAGGGAGAGGTGGTGCGGCTGCTGCTGGAGGTAGAGTGGTGCCAGGAGGACGACTCTCTCATGATGATTGACAGCTGTGAGGAGGAGTGGTCGCGACTCCACGATGTCAGAGTCAACGGAGCGGTAAAGAACAGCATTTACTGTACATTTTTTGGAGCCTGTCCTCAACTGGTTTTTAGTGGGATATACAAGGGCATTATCATTAGATAGCTTTAAACAATGTCTAGAGTTAGATGTTCAAGTGTTAGGTGTAACAAGTCGTTCGGTGTGATGTCCCAGCTGCTGCCGCGCCACGTGCCTTTGAAGCTGGTGTGTTATGCCAAAGGGAGGTTATACTGGCCATACAGATACAGATATACAACAGACCATCACATAAATATTTCAAATACTGGAATATAGTAAACTTACACAGACTTAAAAAGTCTGATATTTTTGTAAACTAAAATACAAGTCCTGTAAACCAGCATGTACCAGTACTTATAAAGTCAAGAATACTCGGGTATCATTAGTTATATTATGTTTTGGTGGCGTTTTTTTTCTGTGAAGTGGAATATATCTGTACTGATATCGGTAGTTTGTAATTGTATGACTGTACGTCTTGACGTATGTTTTAATCTAAGATCACAGTTTAAAAATTCAGGAATCCACCTTACAATGTTTTTCTTCCTACTCAGATACTGGAGTACACCGGACAAGGCAAGAGTATTGTAGACGTGGGACTGGCACAGGCCAGATATCCCCTCACCCCTACACACCACTACTTTGAGATCGAGATAGTAGACCCGGGCGAGAACTGTTACATTGCAATCGGCCTCACAAGAAAGGTGTGCTTCTAATATACATTATCAGATACATTATAAAGGTTTTATATGGCGAAGGGCTCACAAACAGTTCTCTGATCCTTTTACAGTTGAAATGGTTAATGGCCCAAAGCATATGTCAAATTATCTGAATGAAAGTGTGACTATGAGATAGCCTGGAATCCATCCGTGAACGCTTTATCTCCGCTCCGTTCCTCCGCTC